GTGACACCTTCTACCTGAAGCCTGATCCTCCTAGCTGCTAGAGTTCTCTTCCCCCCTCCCTCAATGCCTTTATTTTGTATATACTTATTTATTTTTGTATGTGTTATTTGCCCTGCTTTATATCCTACTTCATATTAATTTGTATATTTGTCTTATAACCTATACTAGACTGTAAACTCCTTAAGGTCAGGAACTGCTCTTTAGCTGTCTTTATATCTTCAGCACCCAGTACAGTGCATGGCACATAGGACACACTTATTAAATACTTATTGATCGGTTGAACTATATGCAGAGCACAGTCCTAGGCACTAAGGAAGATACAAAAATGAAAAAGGCCCAATCCCTACCCTCAAGGGGTTAACAATTAGTATGAGTGATAAGACATATATATATATGTGTGTAATATATGGATATATGGATATTATATACAATACATGTAATATATACACACACACATATATATATATATGCATGTATTAATATGAAGTAGAATATGAAAGTTGTATGAGATGAGCCAGGCCCAAAACTGAATAGGAAAAGAATGAGCTAGATTGCATTTGGGAAGGTGGATACCAGCTTCAATGATCCCAAGCTGATTGCTGCCCCCAAGACTTATCTCTTTAACACCAACATTCTCTTCATGATGCTCCGTGGCTGTGGACTGTAGAACTCTAGCACTCAGAAGAATTAAAACTGTGACCTGCCCTCTCCCCCACCCCCCAAGAACAATAGAGAGATGGATGGGTGGGTGTAAGGAGGCTGGCGCATGTTACCAACGGTGACTTGAATACAAGTGACATAAAATACGTCAGTGAAGACATATGTGACCTCAATGGAGTATGGAAATCCATCTTACCCTACAGGAAAATAAGAGGGGAAGGGGACAAGAGAGCAGGGGGTTGATAGAGGGGAGGGCAGATTGGAGGAGGGGATAATCAGAAGCAAACACTTCTGAGGAGGGACAGGGTCAAAAGAGAGAATAGAATAAATGGGGGGGGTAGAAGAGGATGAAGGGAAATATACTTAGTTTTTCACAACAGGACTACTATGGAAGTGTTTTGCACGACTACACGTCTATAACCTGTATCGAGATGCTTTCCTTTTCAATGAGGGTGGGCAGGGAAGGAGGAAGGGAGAAAATTTGTCACCCAGAGTTTTAAAAACACATGTTAAAAAAATAAAAATAAAAGATTATAAAAACATAAAAAAAGATATATGTGACCCAAAAAAGAGGCAGGCCAGTCATATCACCTGCCTAGAAAATGTATTGGCTCTGGTGTCAGAGGGCTAAGGTTCCAATCTGGCCTCTTATACCACCTGTGTGATCTGAGGCAACTCTCTCTGGCCTGGTCTTCCTGATCTGTAAAATGAGAGCGTTGGATTAGGTGGACCTTGAGATCTCTTCTAGCTCTAAATCTGTGAGTTTATGAATCTATGATCTATGGGCCTACGTAATGGCAGCAAGAGATAAGAGAAGGAGAATGCTGCCCTGGGACCTACATACCATTAGCAGACCTAGAGAAAGGCCTCTAGAGTGTTAGGTAGATCTTCTTGTATGGCAGTTTCTGGAAGGGTACAAGCAAAAATCTGAAAGGATGAATAGGTGCGTCTCATTCTGGGCCAGTGGAATGATTCTCAACACCAGTGAGATCATGGACCCACCAAAGCATTCAGCTATAAGTGCATAGGAGAAGTACAGAGCATTATGTGATGATATGAGGCGGGAGTTCTTTTGAGCTGGAGAGAATCAGGAAAAGCTTCCTGGAGGAAGCAATATCTGAGCTCAGTCTTGAAGGATGCGGAGCAGGGGTTCTTAACCTTTTTTATGAGCAGCTACATAGTTCAGTGGACAGAGCACCGAGTCCAGAGTCAGGAAGACCTGAGTTCACATCTGATCTCAGACTCTAACTAGTTATGTCACCCTAGGTGAGTTGCTTAACCTCTCTTTGTCTCAGTTTCCTCATCTGTAAAATGGGGTTAAATAACAGCACCTACCTCGAAGGGTTTTTGTGAGGATCGAATGACATAATAATTATATGTGCTTAGCACAGTGCCTGGCACACAAGTAAACACTATATAAATGTTAGCTACTATTTGTTATTATTCATGTTATGGATCCCTTTGACAGTCTGATGAAGCCTTTCTCAGGGTAATATTTTTAAGCAAATAAAATTAAAATATATAGGATTACAAAGAAAATAAATTATACTTAAAAAATTATCAAAATATTTTTTTAAAACACGTTTATAAACCTCAAGTTAGGAACCCCTGATGATGTCAAAAGGCACAGGTGAGAGATCATGGGAGCCTCTCTGCCCTTTGTTTTTATTCAGTTAGCCTCTGTCTTAAATGCCAGCTCTGGGGCTGCTGGGATGGGAGGGAGGAGGGTAGGGAAATGAAGGAGGAAGTGTAGAGAGAGAAAGGGGTATAGTGTGAAGTTGTTTTTCTCTCCCAGCTGCATGGACACCTCCAGCTGGTGGCCTATCCCCCTAGGGGATGGCCAGTGCTGGGGAGGGGAACCAGGAACATGGTTCAGTTACACAACCTACAGATTGCTTCCTTCAGAAAAGAGGAAGTACCTCCTGGACTTCCCCATGAACTGGGCCTGTCAAGTTCAGCACTCTTGGGGGAGGGGGAGCCCCAAAGACGAGGGACGGGAAGGCAAGAGGCTGCCAGGGCTGGTCCTCTGGGCCCAGAGGGCACAGGGAGGGCCTCTGGGATTTACCCAGCCTGAATTACCATCAGAAGTGAGATAGTGTGAGTGGTAAAGAAACTGGTCCCTACCGAAAAATGTGGGTGGGGTGAGGATGTCAAAAGATATTTGTGTCCTGTTTCTGAGATAATTACCATCACCATCACAATAACAACATCACATTTCACTAAGTGTCTTCTCTAATCCCTCCTTGTGGCATGAAAGTGGACTATGCCAGTAGAATCCAAACTCCAGTTAAATCCTACCACACTTCAAAGACTTCAGATTCAGTAATGGCCTAGGTGCTTGCTGTCTAAAGACCAGCCCAAGCTCATAGGATCATGGATTTGGAGCTGGAAGGAAGCCCAGAGGTCATCTAGTCCAACCCCCTCTCTGGGGAAACTGAGGCCCTGAAAGGTTGAGAAGCTCTCCAAAGACAGAATATGAAGACAGGGCCCTTGAATACATGCTTTCCGGCATGCTTTCCTCTGTACCATGCCACTTCCAGTAATTTCAGAAAAACTTATTAAGAGGTTGATGATGAAATTTTTGGTCACATCAACTTGAATCTTTTTTACATTATGAAATAACACAGGTGCTATCTACATATTTGTTGTTCAGTCATGGTTGACTCTTTATAACCCCATTTGGGATTTTCTTGGGCAAAGATACTGGAGTGATTTGACATTTCCTTCTTTATCTCATTTGAGGAAACTGAGGCAAACAGGGTTAAGCGACTTGCTCCAGGTCACACAACTAGTAAATATCTGAGACTGGATCTGAAGCCAAGTCTTCCTGACTCCAAGGCTGGCAGCTATTCAACTTTGATGCCTTATCTACGTATATATGAGATGATATAAGTTAAGTACTTTGCAAAATTCAAAGCATTGTGTAAATGTTAATTACTATTACTATCACTTTAGAAGAGTTGAGTTCTGTGTTGGTGAAAAGAGGACCCACTCTGACAAATCAGAGCTATGTCAATTGCTCATGTAAAAAGAACAACAGTTCACGTTTCTTATTGCTTTAGTATAGAAATCCTTCCTTTTTAGTACCATCATGAGGTGAAGAGCATTAGGATCCTCATTTTACAGATGAGGAAACTGAACCCCTGAGAGGTTAAGTGACTTGTCCTGGGTCACACATTAAGTGACACATCCAGGTTTTGAATCCAGGCCAGAGCTCTTTCCTCTAGGCCAGAAACTCAGAAATGGAAATGAATGTCCCTCCCTTTTCTTTGCCTGCCTCTTGAGCAGATAGTCTCCATCCTTGAAGGTCCTTGAAGCCTTCCTGGACTGCTAGATGCCTCGGAGATCTCTTCCCGACAGAGCTAATCATCTCTATCTCCTATAGGATACAGAGCATAAACTGCCTGAGATTACTTAACGGTGGAGTCTTTTCTTCTCGGGTAGACTACGATTTCCCGAAAGGCAGGGCTGGAGCTTTCCTGCCCCTCCCTGCCCTCACCCTTGTGTAGTTAAGTAATAAGGGCTGCGCTCACATCTGTTGTTGCTGTTGCTGCTGCTGTTGTGCAGCTAGGTGGCGCCATAGAGCACAGAGTGCCAGGCCTGGAGCCAGGAAGACTCATCTTCCTGAGTTCAAATCTGGCCTCAGACACTTACTAGGCTGTGTGACCCTTGGCAAGTCCCTTAACCCTTCTTGCCTCAGTTTCCTCATCTGTCAATTGAGCTGGAGAAGGAAAGGACAAGTCATTCCAGTATCTCTGCCGAGGAAACTCCAAATGGAGATTCACAAAGTCTAAACAACAACAACTTTTGGAGAAGTGGAAAGAGCATTGAACTTGGTTTCAAATCCTAGTTCTGCTATTACTAGCCGTGTGATCTTGGGAAATAACTTTCTCTTTCTGGCCTTCAATTTCTTTTTTTATTAATTTATTTTGATTTATCAACAATCACTTCCATAAGCTTTTGAGTTTAAAATTTTTCTCCCCCTCCTGATATAGGCTCTACATATACATTCCTATTAAACATATTTTCACATTAGTCACGTGGTAAGGAAGAATTAGAACCAATAGGAAGAATCATCAGAAAGAGGAAACAAAACACAACAGAAGAAAAAAAAAGAGCGAATAGTATGCTTCGATCTGCATTCAACTTCCATAGTTCTTTCTCTGGATGTGGATAACATTTTCCATCACGGGACCTTTGGAGATATCTTAGATCCTTGCATTGCTGAGAAGGGCTAAGTCTATCAACATCAATTTCTTCAGATAGTAAATGAGGAAACTGGCTTCTCAGGTGGTCTGTAAGGTCACTTCTAGCTTTAAATCCCATAATTCTGTGAATAAGTTAATATAGTTTCCACTCACCCTGTCTGTTCTTTCCACTGGTTCCTGATGCCCCACAAGCTCCCTCCCCCTAGGCTGAGGCCACTTGATGTGACGACAGAGTCAAGGCAGGCCAAACAGCATTTAGTAAACACCTACTATGTGCCAGGCGCTGGGCTATTATCTCACATAAGATAATATTTGTAAAGCACTTAGAATGTTACCTGGATCACTAGGTGCATAATAAATGCTTGTTCCTTCTCTTCCCTCCCTCCTGCTAAGCACTGGTTATGTGAGATCAGGAGCCCCAGGAAGATCTCTTTTACCTCCCTTACCACTTGTTTCTTCTCCCCTCATCTCTCACCAGAAACAAGAATGACATTGGGTGACCGGACTGTCTTCTGGGAGTTTGCATCCTGGTCTGGGTTCTCTCTTCCATTCATAGGCCCGTAGTCTCAGAATTGGAAGGGATCTCAGAGGGCATCTTAATCCACCCCATATCTGAGCAGAAATCTCCTTTATAACAAGTAGCAATTTAGCTTCTGCTTGAGCTCCTCCAATTAAGGAACTCACTACCTTATAACTATACCTCAGCACCATTCCACTTTTGAACAGCTCTTATTGGTAGGAACTGGTTTCCTTTTATATTGAGTTGAAATCTGCCCCTCTACAGTTTCTGCCCAGTGGATCTAGTTTTGTCCTCTGGGTCGAAGCAAAACAAGTCTCATCCTTTTACAAGATAGCTCTTCTGATCCAGAGTTCATCCTGAGTTTTCACAGATCCTTGCTCCTTTCTGGACAGCAGGTCTGATAGGCTGGAGTGAGGGAAGGTGGGTGAGAAAACAGAGGGCCCTGGGGACTTGAAGGGGAAAGTTCTTTCCAGTGCTAGAGAGTGTAGGAGGCACTGAATTGAGAATAAACTTCACCAGCTTCCCAATCTTACTGCAGGCTGACCTGGCCCTGTGTCGGCCTGAGGGAAAGTTCCATGCTTGCTGATTCCTTCACCAGGCTGAGAACCAGGTGATGCCATCAGTGGCTCCAGGGGAGAGATGGGAGAAAGTGACTGTCAGGATAAATTTGAATCAGTTGTGGGGAATGAAGTGGGGAACTCCTGACCCCTTTGGGATCAGTGGGCCCGCCATTCCAGGCAAGCAGCTGGTTCAAATTTTTTTAATTCTTTGAAGTAAAACGGAAGTTTGGGGTGGAGTGAGAACTTCCTCACTGACCAAGGAAGTTACCCCATCCCTGAGGTAATAGGCTTCCATGACAGGACAGAGACATAAGCCCTTTTGTCTTCTTGAGGGAGCCTGGGCCCCATGCAGGGGGAGGCTGGTTAGGAAGGCCAGGTTCTATGAGCAGATCCTGAGCTGACACTGGTGGGTTTCCCTGGCTATTCCTAGAGCCCTTTAAGGTTTACAAGACACTTTCCTCACAATTACTCTGTGAGGCAGGCAATGTGGGTTACCTTTAGGAGAAACTGAGGCTCAATGGGGTTAAATGATTTGCCCAGGGTCACACAACCAGACAGTATGAGTGGGAATTTGAACCCATGCTTCCTGGCTCTAAGCCTAGCACTCTTTTTGCTACATATACAACATTGCCTCTGAGAAAGCCATCAGGGAAATGTTCCCTCTGAAAGATATCCCAACAATCTTCTACTCAAGAACCAACATGATTTCCCAACTTAACCTCTCTGAATCTCAGTTTTCCCATCTATGAAATGAGAATAATACTATGTCCCACAACAGGATCGTTGTGAGAATCAAATAAGATAACGTAAAGTGCTTTGCAAACCTCATAGTGCTACATAAATGTTAGCTGTTATTGTTATCACTGCTATGTCATTCTTGTCTTTTCAATGAAGTTATCATTATGACTACTACCACCATCATTATTGCATCCCAAATGAAGTCCAAACTTCTCAGCTCTTCCAATCCAAGGGCTTCTATCACCTTGGTCCACTCTAGCTAATCAACTTTATTTACTCCTACTCCCCTATAGGCATCTCCCAGCTCTATCCTGGTAGGACCCCTCACTATCCCCTGAACACTCCGGGTCCCATAGAATGTAGGGTCCCTAAGGACAAGAAATGTTTGTTCTTTACTTTTGTATCCCCAGTGCCTAGCACAATTACTGAATTACAATCGGTGCTTAATCAATGCTTGTTAATTAATTGATTTCTACCTCCATGCCTTTATTCATTCTGGCTCCCCCTTGCACATCTCTATTGCCGGCTCCATTATTCTTTCTCTGTCAAAATCCTACTCCTAGCAAGTCCCACCTATTGTAGGAACCCTTTCCTAACCATGCCATAGTGACCCCCTCCCTTTCCTAAGGCCCAGAGCATTTGCTAGCTTTTGCCAACTTTAACCCTCCGTTGCATTAAATCTAGCATTTGATTCTGCACTGTCCTAATTCTGTTTTTGATGTGGGAATACTCCTAACTGGACTGAGCTCCTTGTGATCAAAAACCTGGTTTGCTCCTTCTCTTGCTCCCCTCCTCCAGGGCACTGAACACTGAACCAAGTACATAATAAATAGTAAGTAAAGACTTAGAAAGTTCCTGGATGTAGGGTACACTTGTGGTGCCTGCTCCTGGGGAGGCTGCTGGTGGATTGCTTGAATGTGAGAATTCTGAGCTTCAGTAGGGCTTGAGTTTAAGAGTTCAAAGCTATATTAGGGCTAAAAAGCCAAGCCAGTGTCCATATTAAGTTTGGTATCAGTATGGTGATGGGGGAGAAGTTAGTGGGGGGAGGTCACCAGGCTGCCTAAGAAGGGCAGACTAGCCTAGCTTAGAACTGTAGCAGGTCAAAGCTCTCATGCCAATTGGGCCCATTGGGTAGTGGCTGTACTTCCAGCCTGGATGAGACAGGAAGGCCCAGTCTTCTCCCCTCACCCCCCAAGAAGACAAAAAGCTAAAGAATATCAGAGCTAGGAGGGGCCTTAGAACATAGACTATCAGGGCTGAACATAGTCTTAGAACACAGAACATAGCATATCAGAGCTGGGAGGAACCTTAAAGCATGGACTGTCAAAATTCAAAGGGATTCCAGAGATCATTTATCCTAACCCCTGCATTTTACAGATAGGGAAACTGGGAACAAGAAAATCATGAGATAGTGGGAAACCTAGGAATGAATCCAGGTCTCCTAATCTCCAGTCCAGAGTTCTTTCCACTAATCTCTCTGGGCCTCAGTTTCCTCCTCTGTAAAATGAGGGGATTGACTAGATCTTCCTGAAGATCCTTCCCAGTCCATATTCCATGATTGTCATTGAATTTCACCTTGGGATCCTAAATGGAAATCATCTGTAAACATTCATTCAAGAGACGGTGAGTGAAAAGGCCTTTTAGTTTTTATTAACACCAGGTTATTCCCCATCCTCTATGGATTTCCTCCTTTAGTGACTTCTTGTGGCCCCAAGAAGACCCCGAGCACTAAGAATATAAACTCTGGTGGGTCCTAGAAAGTTGCAAAGGTCTCTGGGGCCCCAAGATGCATCTGTTCAGCCTTGCTAAACTCAGAGAGACTCATTATCTGAGGACTGGCCACCAGAGGATGGTCCTTTGGACCACAGCAACTCCTGAACCTAGATCCAAAGGTTGGAAAGAATCGGGGTTTGTATCAGGGGAAAGAACACCTACATGGACGAAGTAATGGATCCTTTAAAGTCCTGCAGGTTTTTACATAGTTCATCTTCCTATTGGAAGGAATAAAGAGTTGTCCTGGGCCCTATTTAGTCCGGCCCAGCCCAAGGGGTATTTAACGTTCCCTCTAGTAGCTCCTATGTTGTTGTTCAGTCTGTCAAGACAAGGTGCCATCCCTCTTTTCCAGCTGCACTCTTGGAGCACCAAAGCTAATGCAAGCTGGGAACTAAGAGGGTTTGCTTAAGGAGTCCTCTTTTCTCCCCTCCCCACCAAAGGGACAGTATCAGACTGGGTTGCTGAGAACCCATGTGAGGTAGTTCCTCTAAAACACCATGAGTGACTAAGGACCAGAGCCATAAACCTCCTGCTGGCAGAACCCAGTACTGCAGAGGCACTGGATCCCTAAACTGGGAAAGGGCTGGGTAGGTGACTAGCTCGCCATCCCGGGGCAGGGACCAGCCACAATGTTCTTGTTCCCTTGTCAGGTCTGGATTCAGGAGTCCCCTGAGGCATTTGCTTCCTCTACTTCCTCAGAAATTAGTCCCATATTTCTTTTATTGAGGTCCCCATCCCTTCACTAACCTTCCCCCTACTCCCACTTCAGGTTCCAGGAATATTTTTAAATGCTTTCAATTGAGCATCTGCCTTCTCTGAGTACATAGATCACAATATACAATACAAGCTGAACAGGACCTTAGAGGCCATGTATCACAGAGACTCTTAACTTTTTTGTGTCTGTTGGACCCCTTTGGCAGTCTGGTAAAACCCATGGACCCCTTTTTTGAACAGTGTTTTTAAATGCATAAAACAGAATCCATAGGATTGCAAAGGAAACTAAAGGTTAATAAAAATAAAGATATAATTTCTTTTCCCATCCAAGTTCATGGACCCCCTCTGAAATTCATTCATGAACACTGTCCATGGACCTCTGGTTAAGAACCCCTGATCTAGTCCAAATCCCCCATTTCACAGATGAGAGAAACAAGGTTCAGAGGGGTTAGGTTACTTCCCCAAGGTCACTATGTAGTAAATTCAGATCAAGGCCCCCTGACTCCAAATCTAATGGTCTTTTCATTACACCCCATCAAACCTGACCCAGTGAAAATCTCCCAGGCCTCTTTACCCCATATTCCAGACACACTTTGGTCATAGCTACACTGTCCATGCCCTCTATACGGCTCCTACTATGTGTGGCTGGGGGCAGGGCTCTCACAGGTAGTTGTCCTCTCCTTCCTCGGCTCTCCCCAAGCCCTCCTCATCCTCGCTGCCCTCCTCCTCTCCCTCCTGTGCCAGGGCCTCAATGTCATGGGTGATGCCAGTGAGAATACGATGGAAGGCCTCGGCCTCCGGGCGGGGAGCTCTACTGTCATAGCTGCGCACGGCGGAGGCCGACGTGGAGCTCATGCTTCGCTTGATCCGCCCAAAGCTGTCAGTGAGGATGCCGCCCTCTCGGATGCCCACACCCTCCAGGAAGCCTTCAAAGTAGCCTATGTCCTGGTCCGGGATAAAGGGCCGCATCCCTGTAGGGCCCAAGAGGCAGGTGGTTGCTCGGTTATCTCCACTGTCTCCGCCCCCATACTTCCCAGCCAAAGGGGGAAGGGGTCCCGGGGAGCCCCAGTCTGAGCCTCTGAATCAGCAAGACGGGTATCTCCAGCCCCATGCAGCTCCTTAATAGAGGGAGTGATTGGAAATTATAGGGTCACAGATTTAGAGCTGGGAGGGACCTTAGGCATTCAGTCCAATGCTCTCATTTTATAAATAAGGAAGCTAACATCCAAGGGTGTCACTAGTGAATGGCTGAATCCAAATTTGAACCCAGGCCCTTGGACTCCAAATACAGTGCTACCTCTCTCAGAGGATGTGTCAGAGACTGAGTTGAAGTGGACTTAACCGGATACACTGCCAAGCCTTCTCACATACTGCTTTCTGGGCATTGCCTAGCAAGGGCCCACAGGTAAATATGGTTTTAGCATATTTATTAAGTCACTACAGGAGGCTCTGAAAGGGCAGGTACCATGTCCTTAGTCTTTTCTCTCTTGGTGCTCCGCTCGTAGTTCTTACACACACCATAGACGCTCAGTAAAGGCTCGCTGAATTAAACATAGGGATGCTTTTCATATGATGGTGATGCTAGTGATAATTAGGATGGCTGTGAAGGGTGGATGGTGGTAATGGTGTTAATATCTAGAGAGTTCAATAAATTTTTGATGAATTGGATGGTGAGGGAAAGGGGCCAGGGATAGATATTGGGGTGATGGTGAAAGTGATGGTACCGGAGTAATGGATATGAAAATGGCAGGTAGGGATAGTGATGACCACGATAATGTTAATCGTGACGATGGGGGGAGATAATGGTGGCAGTGATGATGGTCATGGTGACGACTGAGTGAGATCCCATAGGGTCCTTCTGGATTACTAAGTTCAACCCTCTCATTTTAAAGAGGAGGAAACTAAGATCCAGAATGAAATGAATTGTCCAACATCACACAGGTGGTACGTGGCACAGCCGGGATTTGAGCCCAGTTCTTTGGGGTCCAAATCCAGTATTCTTTCCACTGTGCTACACGATAGTGACAGTGGAAATGGGGATGGGAACAGTAATGATGGGGGCAGGGTCCAGGGCTGACCCTTGAAATGGGAGAAGGGGTTACAGCATTCTCACCCAGGAGAAGGAATTTCCTCTTGTCCCCATAGAGCCGAAGAAGATGCCCACAGTACTCCTGCACAGATAGCCCCAGCCTGTATTCTCGCAGCAGCAGAGCAAACTGCTGGATCTCAGGTGGCGATAGCTTGTTTCGCAACTGTGGGGAAGAGCCAGGATGTGGGACCAGGCAAAAGACAGAGGACAGGCCCACAGGGGGCCATATTTCATAGGGTTTGGCAAAGTATGACCAGTGTGATTGCTGGGGGTGAGGCCATAGGCAATTGAGGGGGCAGAGGGCACTGTGGAAAGGGGGATGGCCTGCGATCTCAATGCTCTTTTAGTTAGAAATGTTTTTTCTAACTCTGGCCCCTCTCTACTTGCTTCTTAGAGAACTAGGGAGAAGATGGAGGCCCAGGACAGGACTCAACTACAGGGACACATATTTCTGTCGTCTGTCCCATCAGAGGACTCCACTGAGGGATCTGGGCATGGGAGTAGAGGTGCCAAATGAGCAGGGGTCCCATGAGATAGGGGAGGATGTAGACTTCCAGGAAAGGAAAGGGGCAGGTGGAAGCTCCCATGGGGCACATGGGGGAAAGAGGCAGAGGTTTCATTGGGCACCACAGGATGTGGATATGTGGGAGGGGAAGAGAGATAGGTCAAGTAGACAGATATGAATGGGTGTGGGAGGATCGGGGTGGAGGGTGGGGAATGCTGTGAGTGAGCAGAGGCTTCCACAGAGTGCAAAAAGATATAGAGGCTCAGGAAAGAGGGCAGGTGAGCTGGGACAATCAATCTCCAGAGCTTGGGAAAGTAGCACTGACCTTGCCCAGGCCTTACCGTCACCATATAGTCCTGTAGCTGCTCCAGACCCAGGCTGCTGCCATCACTTTCACTGCAGTGAGATCCCTGGAAGGAGGGTGTAGACGTCCCACTATAATAGGCTTCAAAGGTGTCATGGGAGCCATTACTGGAAGGCACAGAAAGAGACAGGTACCCTGACTCACTCCACTGGGCCCTCCATGCCTGCTTGACCAACCCCCTCCCCAATCGTCCATTCTGCCAGAGTCCCTTCAGCCCAGTGTGTAGTCTCCTAGGGTCTGCCACATTAGTCAGTCAGTCAGTCAGTCAATAAACATTTGATAAGCACCTACTATATGCCAGGCACTGTGCTAAGTGCTGGGGATACAAAGAGAGGCAAAAGACAGCCCTTGCCCTCAAGGAGCTCACAGTCTATTGGGGGAGATAACATGCAAATAACGATGTATGAACTCGTTATATACAAGATAAATTGGAAATCATCAACAAAGGGAAGGCACTAGAGTTCTGGGGGATTGTCCTGGAACAGAAGCATCAGATACCTAACCTAGACTATGAGCTGCACTGGGGCAGGAATAAATAGCATGCATCTTAATTCAACTTTGCCTCTTTACCCAGGGCCCTTCACACAGCAGGTGTTTAATAAACATAGAATGTTTAATAAATGAAATCCCAGTTACCCGAGGAGGGTGCTCAGCTTTGTGGCTCCATCTCAGGCTTTCAGTCTGAGCCACACCTCCTCTTCTTCTCCTCCCCACTCATCTAAACATGTGCGTGTGCACACACACACACACACACACACACACACACACACACACACACAAGGATGGTTGTGAAGGGTTGATGACAGGAATATGCTGGAGCCCAGAGCAAGGGCTAAAATTTTAGTGTATTTATGCCTCAGAAATCTGCAAATGCTACAAGTCAAGGCTTGATTTATTGATTGTCTGAACTTAAGAAAGGGTTAAAAATGCAGATTAAACTTGTAAGTGTATACGCGTATAATTTTCCCCCCTAAGAGCATATTTGTTAAACATGGACCAACAGGGCCCTGGCTGAGGGTAACAGTGACATTGTTGATGATAGAGGATTCAATAAATCTTCGATAAACACAATCGAATAGTGCTGGGGGCGGAGATTTAGTTATTGGGGTGATCATAGGATCATGGAATGAGAGCCAGGAAGGATCTTGGAGCCCATGTAGTCTAACTCCCTCATTTTAGAGTTGGGGAAACTATAACATACGCTGCTGATCAGGGGTTGCTCCCCAGGTGCAATCTCATCTCTGACCTAGAATTGGGGGATCAGTTTTAGACACACAGGGAAATCACAAGCATGTCACATAGACCAAGAGCACTCAAAATAATTTCTCAATTATATACAAGGTTAAAAAAACCCACTGATTGAAGCAAGCTCAAATGTAGCAGAAAGGACCCTGTTCTCGAGGGCAAAAGAGCTGTGTGTCCCAGGACCGACACTTTCTATTAACATGATGTAATGCTTGTTGATTGGTATGACTAATTTGTGAGATGACCCTGTGTTACCTTGGGCTTACTTTGTGGTGTAGTGGAAAGTGCTGGATTTGGAGTCAGAAATATTTGGATCCAAATGCCAGATCCTCTATCTAGTACAAGATGATTGATAAAAATCCTCTCAGCTCTTTTATTTAATGCAATGATTAGAGTCTCTCCTAGCTCTTCTATTTACTGCAATTGATAAGGTCCCTTCAAACTCTCAGGCCTGTGATCCTGTGACATGTATAGCTTTGGGTAAGCTTCTCCCTTTCCCTAGGTAGGCTTCAGTTTCCTTATTGATCACTGAAGGCACTGGACCAGATAACCTCCAAAGTCCCTTCTAGCCCTGACTTTCTATGATCTATGTTCTAAGGTCCCTCTCAATACTTGTGCTTAACAGGTCTTTTTTTGGCTTAGTGAGTCTCAAGCCTGCTAGGTGATGACCGATCTTCTTTAGTTCCCTCAGTGTCCCCCACAGCATCTAGAGCTGGGCTAGCACACAGCAGGGACTCAGTCAGGGACACCCTTCTTGCCAGATAGTGGTGAAGAATTTCCCCAGGAAACAACCAGGTGTCTGGGGGTAACTACTGGGGTGCATGGAGAGGGATAGGGATTGGACTGGGGGGGGAGGCGGAGGGACAGCACCAGCTCTGGTGGCAGTTGGTACCTACAAAGAACTGCAGCAGCTGAAATCAGCATCGTAGCCATAGGTCCCATCTGTGCGGCAGCTCTCACCTGTAGTGGGACAGAGATCAGTTAGAAGAAAAAGCAGGATTCTATCTTTCCTGGGGCCATCTTCTTTCCCTCCACTGGCCCCATCCCTAGATGCTATCCTAGGCACAACTCCCTAATTCCTATCCTCATGCAATTCTCTGTCCCTTAATAATGGGGCATGTTTCCCTGGTCATTTAAGGCTTACAAAGCATTTTCCAGAGAAGATTAAAAAAACACCAGTGGGTTAGGTAGTTAAAATATTATTATCTCCATTATACAGAGAAGGAAGCTAGGGATCAGAGATGGGAAGTGATTTGTCCAGGGTCATGTAATTAGTAAATGTCACAGTCAGGATTTGAACTCAGACTTTTTGCTTATAAAACAATCCTCTTTCTGCTATACTACAGTCTTCTTTTCTAAGCCATGAAATATAAAGGACAATTGAAGGATCTAGGTGTGTTTAGGCTGGAGAAGGTTGTTGTGTTTGTCCTTCATTCTTGAAGAGAATCATGACATCAGGGAGTTGATGACATGACTTGCGATTGACTTTGATTTAAGTGAGGCAGGGCTGCGCAAAGTCACCAGCTTCACTTTCTCCTCCAGAGCCATCTGGGTCCAGCGGCGAGATATACATCAGGACGACTGGAGATGGCCCACAGCTGGAGAAGAAAAGATTTAGGGGCAGGATGGGGATAGAATCGGGGTAGGATGAGTGCAGGATCCCTCCCTGTCTTCAAAAATCATGAAGATTTTTAGGCTTGTTCTTCATGTTCCCAGAGGTCAGAACCAGGAGCAGTCAGTGGAAATTATAATTTGGGGTTGGTGGGAGGGAAAATTTCTAAAAATGGGTTGCCTTAATTGGTAGGATCCTATCTACAGCCATCTAGTCCACCACTACCCCCAATTTAGAGGTGAAGAAACAGAGGCCCAGAAAGGTTTGGGCCTCTAGGGTCACATAGCAGCCACGGGATTCGAACCCTGGTTCTCTGGCTGAGCTCCCTGTAATAGGAAGTGTTCAGACTGGGTGGATAGCCCTTAATCAAGGATACTACAAAGGGGGTTCTCTTGAAGGATGGCAAACTGGTCTGGAGACTTCCCAGATCTCTTTTAGCTCTGGAAGCCGATAATTCTAGTCTTAAGTCCCTGTTCCAAAATTAAACCTTGGGTCCTGCCAAAGCAGAAACCATGTATTTTCTTTCTTTTCTTGGGTGTCTCCCAATACATAGCACAGGGCTGGACACACAGGAGGGAGATGCTCAATAAAGACTTTTTGATTAGTTGGTTAAGTCTGGAGTCCTTCAGGACCAGGCCCTCTGGCTCCTCAGCTTCTAGCTCTGTTCTCCTTTATCTAGATCTGCCTTTCTCTTGCTCCTCCAACCTTTGCATGTACAATCAAACTTCTGGCTGACCTGGATGGGAAAAGGCTGGAGAGACAGATGGAATCTAACCAAATTGCATGGCTCTCATTTTTCCACTTCTATCTCACCTTCCCTCCCCACAGTGCCTAGAGCAGGGCTAGCACAGAATGATGGCTCATCTAAAGATACCTTCTCTTTTGCCCAATATTGGCCCAGAATTTTCATAAGGAACAGAAAAGAGGAACCTAGAGGGACAGCTAGTTGTGGGGAACAGAACAAGGGATCTTTGCTCAGGTTCCTAGTCCTAAAATGTCCTTCCTCTGCCCCTTCCCGCCATCTCTACCTGCTAAAATCCTTTCTTTACCTCAAGGCCAAGCTCAAATGCTTTGACCTCCACAAAGCCTTCCTTAACTTTCCCCCCACTCTCTGAAGATGGAAGTGAACTCTTTCTTCTGATCTTATAGTACCTTGTTCATACCACTCTTAGGTACTTACTATTGGAGAGACATTTGAGCATATTAGAAAGTCACCGGACTTGGAGTTAGAAGTCCAGAACATGAGTCATAGAATCGCAGCATCTCAGAAATAAAAGGGACTACAGAGCTATCCGGTACAGCTGGTACCAGAACAGATATTGTCTCTAGCATGTGGCCAACAAAGAGCCATCCAGACTCCACTTAAAGATCTTCAGTGATGGGAGATGTATTACCTTTCAAGGCAGTCCACTCTACTTTTGGACAGCTCTAATTATTGTCAAGGGGACAGCTAGGTGGCGCAGTAGATAGGGTGCCAGACCTGCTGGAATCAGGAAAACTCAGCTTCCCAGCTTCAAGTCTGGCCTCAGATACCTACTAACTGTGTGATACTAGGCAACTTAACCCTGTTTGCCTCAGTTTCCTCATTTGAAAAAGAGCTGGAGAAGGAAATGGCAAAGCACTCTAGTATCTCTGAAAAAAAAAACCCTCAAATGGGGTCACAAAGAGTTGGATGTAAAAAATAATCGAACGATGAGTTATTGTCAAGTTTTTCCTTGTATGGTACTGAAGTCTATGGTATGGTATATTGGGAATGCAACTGGGTTTGGAGTCAGAAGACCTGGGTCCCAATCCTGGCTTAATTACCTGTGTGACTTTCAGTAAATCCCTTAACCTCTCTGGGCCTAGTTTCCTCATCTATAAAATGAAGGGGTTGGATTGAAGGAAGGAAACAAGAATTTATTATACATGTACAAGGTGCCAGGCACTGTGCTAAGTGCTTTACAATTATTGTCTCACTTGATCCCTACAATAACCCCATGAAGAAGGTGTTGCTATTGTCCCTATTTTACAGATGAGGAAACTGAGGCAAATAAGGATTAAATGACTTATCCAGGGTCACACAGCTAGTAAGTGTCTGAGGCCACTTTCGAAGTCAGGAAAATTAGTTTTTCTGACTCTAGCCACTCTGTGCCACCTAGCTGCCCCTTTATACACAGTAGGTGCTAAATAAATGTTTAGAGGGGTCGATGGATATGGAATAGCTTTCTAGCCCTTGGTTTCTCTCAAAGGCAGCTGATCTGTACTCCCTGCCTGGTTAGATTCTGTGACCTGGGTTCAAAATCTTATCTTTGGATCTTATTAACCTGTGTGACCCTCAGCAAATCACTGAACCTCTCTAGGCCTTATTTTCTTTCTCTATAAAAAAAAAATGAAGGCATTGGAACAGCTGAGAGGCTTTATGGAGTAGTGAATAGTGTGTTGGACTTTGAGTCAGAAACACCTGGTTTCAAATCCCACTCAATGCTTACTAGCTGTGTGACACCCTGTCCCCCAGCCAGTCACTTAACCACTCTAAGCTTCAGTTTTTCCTCATCTGTAAAAATAGGGGGCCTGAACTGCTTGATGTTTTGAGGTCCCTTTCAGCTCTAAGCTCCCTGATCATTTGGTTCATTTCATTTTGGTTTAGGGACAAGAGGAGGGTGGCGCCGAGGGGAAGCTGCCTCTGACCCAGAACTCACTGCGGCTGATAAGCCAGGGCCGTTCAGGGGTGGAGGTGTAGTGGTAGCCAGCCCGATCCACGCACTCGATAGTCTGATCTCCATAGATGATCTGGAAGACCTGGCAGATGAGAGCGCAGGATTCTTCTGCTGCATCCTGACCACAAAAGAGAGGAGACATTAGTAACTGAGCATGTCTCTGAGCTGGGGTGTGGGAGTAGTAGGTGCGGCAGCTTTGGCAGTCTGGAAAGTGAGAGTCAGGGTGGTGCTGAGCAAAGAATCCTAGGCCAGAGATTTGGGAGACCCAGGCTCTAGACATAGCTCTGTCTCCAATTTGCTGTGTGCTTTTGGACAAATTATTTCTACTCCCTGAGTCTTAGTTTCCCTGTTTGTGAAATGAGTGGGTTTCCTTAAGGCCCCTTAGCTCTAACATTCTATGCTCTTTCAAAAGGTCCCTTCCAGCTTTAGCATTCTAACTAGTTGTCACATTCTTCTCTATTCCTTTCTTTCAGCCATTGTGAATATTCCTTACAAAAGGGCATTGGAGGGAGGCTGGGAATCTCAAGAGCTCTAGAGAAAAAAAAAAGATTTATTCTCATACTAGGTCCTGACCATCAGGTTGGGGATATATTTAAAACAGGTCAGGCTTTTAGGCAACCCCCTTCAATTACAGTTATCCCTTCCACATCACAGGGGCTAGGGGTATGGTGCCCCTGTGATCCGGAAAATCCATGTAAAGTTTTTTGGCCTTCCCTTCATACCAGAGAAGAAGTCTGAATTTTTTCTTTTTCTTTTATGGGATGTTTACAGTACCTTATTGTAAAATTTGGGTTGATATTATACAATATTATGCATAAGTTTTATGCATTCTAAGTCGGTCTGCTGGCCTTCATGTGCCATCTGTGGCTTCTGTAAAACTCCCCCAAAGTTCCCATTTAATTTCTTATGCCAACCCATGATACAGCAAAATCACAATGGAGAAAGTCACAATATGGAAGGGATAACTGTATAGTCATTGTTGTCAGTACAGTTGCGATATAGGATGGAGCTTTGGGGCCCCTTAGCCCCAAAGTGCTATAACATGCCTCACCTCCATCTTTCCTCTCTTCTTGTGGCCACCACACAAGTTCTGCCTGGTCTATTGGAATAACTGCTTAACTGGTCTTCCTGCCTCCATACCTCTCCTCTGTCCAATCTGTCCTTTGTGCGATGCTAAAATTCTCTTCCTTAAGTATGGATCTCTTCAGGTTACTCTTCTGTTCAAAAACATTTAATGGCTCCCTATTGCTTCCCAAATAAAGTTCAGACTCCTCTACCTGAGATTCAAAACCCTCTATAATTGGACACAACCCTACCTTTCTAGTCACTGGATACCCCTCCTTGCATTCTACACTCTAATTGAACCAAGCAACTTTGGCCCTATCACATACCCTGATCCTTCCCAATTCTGCGCCTTTTTCCATGCTGAGCTTAGAATGTACCCATGTCCCTCTCCATCTGAACTACTGAATCCTTACCCAACCTTCAAAGAGTACCTCTTCCATGAAATCTCCCCTGATTCTCCCTTTTTTTTTTTGTTTGGTGAGGCAATGGGGCGAAGTGACTTGCCCAGGGTCATAGAGCCAGTAAGTGTCAAGTGTCTGAGGCCGAATTTGGACTCAGGAATTCCTGAATCCAGGGCCGGTGCTCTATCCACTTTATCATGTAGCTGCCCCCAATTCTTCCAATTCTTGGTAATGACCTTGACTCTCAGACTTCAAATGTCATCCTGCACCTCTCTATTGGATTTATCATATAGTATTAGAGTTTTCTGGATTGGTATCTTATGAGTTCCATGAAGGTAGGGGCTAGACAGAGTACTGGATTTGGAATCAGGAAGACTAAGCAAATCATTTAACTTCCTTAAGACAAAGATTCCTTGTCTGTAAAATGGGATCATACCAATTACTTCATGGGTTACTGTAAGAATCAAATGTACATAGAGTGCTTTGTGAACCCTAAATTGCTGTAGAAATGTTAGTTTCTAAATTTTGTATTTTCCTCAGTTTCTAGTACAGTGTTCTGCAAACAGTAGGTGATTAATAAATGTCAGCGGAGCTCTTTTTATAGTAGTGAAGGACTAAAAACAAAATAGATACCTCTGGGTTGGGGAATGAATAAACAAATTGTGATACATGAATATGGTGGAATATTGAGTGTTGTAAGAAACGAATATGATGAATACAGAGAAATATGGAGAGACTTATGTGAACCAACGTAAAGTGAAAGTAAGTAGAACCCGGAAAACAATAGACATAGTAACGACAGACTGTAAAAGGAAACAAAACAATCAAAACTGAATGCTGTGGGGGCAGCTCGGTGGATAGAGCATTGGCCCTGAAGTCAGGAGGACCTGAGTTCAAATCCAGCCTCAGACAAAACACTTGACACATACTAGCTGTGTGACCCTGGGCAAGTGACTTAACCCCAATTGCCTAAAAATAAAATAATAATAATAAAAAAAAACCCCTGAATACTGTGAAATTATCCTGACCAAGCTGGGCCTTCAAGAAGGGATATGGAAGTGTATCTTCATTCCTTCTTCACAGAGGTAGAGGACTAGAGGTATGAGACCTTGAATATAATGTTGGATGTGGTTGTTGTGTTGGTTAATTTTTCTGAATTGTTTCTTTTTCTCTTATTAATTCTTTGTTATGAGACACAACTCTTTGGGAAGGGGAAAGGATATATTGGGAAGTGTAGGTGATGTAAAAACAAGAGATATCAATGAATTTTTCTTAAAATGTCTGTTGAGTTGAAATTGGAGGAAGGTTGGGGCCCAGATTGGGGCTGTAGGGCCTCTCAAGTCAGATGACCTCCAGGCCATAGCCCTTCAATTCACCCTGGTCGAGGGGACAACTCACCCTGTTGGCAACTGCCAGGATGATGAGGTTGCAGTAGGCATCAGGGCTGGGATCCTGAGGGTCCAGGGGGTTGAGACCAGGTTGTCGACGCTCCCAGCTGCCCCCGCTGAAGGTCTGGCGACGTTCCCAGCTGCCCCCAGGCTTGCTCCCTTGCCGCAGTTCCCAGCTTCCTCCAGGTTTGCTCCCCTGCCTCCGCTCCCAGCTGCCCCCCGGTTTGCCCCCCTGCCGTCGCTCCCAGCTGCCGCTGAATGTCTGGCGCCGTTCCCAGCTCCCAAATGCCCGGCCCATGGCTTTCTTCTCATCAGCACCTTGCTTTCGTTCCAAGCTGCCCCCACCACCACCGGTGGCCCGGCCCTCGGTGCCCCCCCATGCCATCCTCCAGTCCAGGCTGCAGATGGTGTGGCGTCGCTCCACACCACTTGAAGGTGGTCTAGGTTCAGGACCGCTGCCCGTTGACCTCTTCTCAGGGGTCATGCCAGCCACCCCAGGCTCCCGCCTGCCACCAGGGCACGCATCCAGGCCAGCAGGCACTGGATCCACACCCAGGCCTAAGAGAGGATGAAAAAATGACCACCTGCCCAAGACTAAGGGTTAAGGCATGGGAAGGCAAGAACATGTTGCCACTTGGGACCTGTTGGCACCTGATGCCAACATCATTGTTGCTTTCTCTTCCTTTCATGTAAAAGGGGAGTGCGGGATAGTGGAAAATCTTTTGGGCAAGGAATCAGGACACCCAGATCATGGTCCATATTATCTTGAAGGTACCTTCCAGCTTTAACAACATATACCACTCAATTGCTAAATATATGAACCCTGGGCAAAACACTTAATTCCTGAGCCTTAGCTGCTTATCTGTAAAATGGTGATAATAATTCCTGAATTATGGACCTCACAGTAAGGATCATAGTAGCCCAGATTTAGAGAGGGAAGGGTTCTGAAAGGTCATCCAGTGAAGAAATGGATCCCAAGATGATAAGTGATTTTCCCAAAGTTGCACAAATAATGAGTAGCCCAGCAGGATTCTGTGGTTCCTATGTACCTCACTGCTTCTCAATACCACCAAATGAATAATGAAAGCAGGTCTATCCCTGACCAGGTGGGTGACTGGTGGAGCGGAAAGGACACTAGATTTTTGAATCAGTTGTCCTGGGTTAGAATTGGGTTCTGTTACTTACTACCTAAGCCTCCCTTTTCATAAGTATAAAATAAGGACTAGACTAGATCCCATCTAAGATCTGGACAAGGCCACTCCAGTATCTTTACCAAGAAAACTCCAAAAGAGTCAGACACAACTGAAAACAAATGAATGACAACAAGGTCCCTTACAGTTCTATATCTCCTGGGATTGCAAATTTCTCTCATCCTCAGTTTTCTCATCTGCAAAAATGGGGATCACTGTTCTCACTCTATCTGCCTCAAAAGTTGTAGTGAACAAAGCGCTTTGTAGAAATGAGAGCTGTTATATTATTTCTGGACAAGGCATCCCACTGCTTTCCTCTCTTTGATAAGAGTGTGAAAGTCAGGGCAGAGCCACATAGAGAGAATAAGGGATCAGAAAACTAGGGTTCAAATCCTGACTCACTATCACTGATGATGATGTTTCATTTTTCAGTTGTGTCTGACTCTTCCTGATTCCATTTGGGGTTTTCTTGGCAAAGATACTGGAGTGGTTTGCTATTTCCTTTGACAGCCCATTTTACAGATGAGGAAACTGAGGCAAACAGGGTTAAGTGACTTGTCCAGGGTCACACAGCTAGTAAGTGTTTGAGGCCAGATTTGAGTTTGGGGAGATGATGCTTCCTCACTCCAGGGCCTGGCACTCTATCCACTGCACCTCCTAGTTGTTCCCACAACCCTGTGAGGTAGGTGCTATTGTTATCCTCATTTTACAGTTGAGGAAACAGAGGCAAACAGAGATTTAAGTGACTTGCCCAAAGCTGCACAGTCAGTTAACTGTTTGAGGCCAGAAGTCTTTCTGACTCCAGGCTTCATGCCGTTTCCACTGCGCCACCAGCTGTCTCTACCTATCTCCATCATCAGTAAAATACAGGAGTTGGACCAGTAATGCCCTCCTCGTCTCCTCCTCATAGAATCTAAGCACCCTGAGGGTATGGACCTTCTTACATTTGTATTTGTATGGTCACCAGCATCTCAGCTGTGCCTGGTACAAAGAGGAGCTTAATAAATGGTTGGTCCTAGGAGGCGCTTCGGGTGAGAGACTAGGGTGAGGGTCAGGAGGAGACCATCTCAAAGGTGGAATCTTTTGGAAGTATGACTTCGATATGGCCTCTAGGACTTTTTAATTGGCCTTACCCCTCCGGAGCCTCTCTCACATAATCCGCATTCCCGAATTCTGGCGGTTTAGTCTTCTCTAGCCCCTCCCTCACCCCCGCCCCCGGCCCCAGGACCAGTCTCCCTCTCAGGTCCCGCCCCGCCTTGTGTCTCACCAGTCTTGAGCACGAGCAGGTGGAGCGCATCGTCCTGCAGATAGGAAGCAGCCGCGATCTCGTGCGTGGGTATGCGCAGGATCAGCTCCTCGTTGTCCCGCCATGTGAGGAGCAGGCACCTCGCGGACAGGCTGAGAATGCTGTCCTGCTCCGGGGTGCTCTTCAGGGGCAGCTCTTTCAGCTGCTGCGGGGCCAGAGCCAAGGAGGAGTGTAGCGGGAGCTGCCCTGGGGCCTCAGCCAAGTCCATCTCCCCCCTCCCCCAACACCCACCCACACACCCACTGCCTGCCCTTGCCCCTGTTCCTGTCTTAACCTGCCCAGAAGCTCCACAGGAGTAAACTGACGGTGGGATGGGATGGGAACAGTGTCCTGCCCGCCCTGTCCACCCTCCCCACTCCTACCTTCCTCTCTCCTCACCCGTGCAGTGTCCAACAGCTGCAGGAGCTCATCCCGGCTAGAAGGGTTCAGGGAAGATGTGACCCAGGTTAAGTGTCCTAGAAACTTAACAGGAAGCCCAGATTCGTCACTAGGGCACTAAGAGCTCTTGCTCTTTCCCACTGGTTGAAACACTCCCCTAAAGGGAAGGACCATGGATTTAGAGCTGGGAGGGCCCTTATGGAAGGGAAGAGAATAAGCATGTATACAACACCCACCAGGCACTGGGCTAAATGTCGTTACAAACAACTTATTTTATCCTCACAGAAACTCTTCAAGGTAGCTGCTATTATTGTTATTTTAAAGCTAGGTGGTACAGTGAATGGAGCATTAGCCCGCATCAAGAAGACCTGAGTTCAAATTGGCCTCAGACACTAGCTGTGTGACCCTGGACAAGTCACTAAACCACTTTTTGCCTCAGTTTTCTCATCTGTAAAATGAGTATAATAATAGTACCTACCTTCTGGGGTTGCTGTAAGAATCAAATGAGATGATCATTGTAAAGCGCTTAGCACAGAACAGGTGCTATATAAATAATAGCTATGATTATCCCCATTTTACAGTTGAAGAAACTGAGGAATACAGAGGTCAAATGACTTGTCCAGGGTTACACAGCTAGTATGTGTCTAAGGCCAGATTTGAACATGTATCTTCCTGATTCCAAACCCAGTGCTCTATCCACTGAGCTGCCAGACACTTTTATTTTAATCCTATATTAATATATTATAAAGGGTAATCATACGCCCTTACTTTACAGATGAGAAAAAGGAGGCTCAGAGCAGTTAAATGACATAGTCAGGATCACATGGCTAATAATGTCAGAGGTGGGTTTTACATTCCAGTCTTCCTGACTCCAGATATAGCAACCTTGCCACTATATTTCTTCAGGGGATGGGGTAGGGGACATAGTGGAGAAGAACGAATCTGTACCTTTTGGGGGCTGCTAATAAAATAATAATGCCCCCCCCATTATGTAGCCCTTTATTTTTTTTTAATTTTATTAATTTATTTTGATTTATCAACAATCACTTCCATATGCTTTTGAGTTGAAAATATGTAGCCCTTTAAGGTGTATAAAGTGATCACAGCAACCCTGTGTAGTACAAATACTATCTCTATTTTACAGAAAAGTAAGCTGAAGCTCAGAACAATTGGCTGTGGCCAAGGTAACAAAACTAGTACGTAAAACCAGGGTCTGAACCTAGGTCCTTTTACCTCAAATCTAATGTCATTTCCATCATATCATTGATGTAGTTTGGGGGGTTGGAATGGGGAGGCAAGGCCAAGGCAGGCTGTTTGTCACTTGGCCCCCTGCCATTCTTTCCCTCATCCCCAGGACAGTCAACACAGACCCATTAAATCCTGTCAGAGTCCCTCTGATGAGACTTTGTCCCTAGTGGGACCATCAACATCATGGCTCTGCTGTTAGAGGACCCAGGTTCGAATCTCATCTTTGATACTACCTATATGATCTTAGACAAGTCATTGAATTTCTCTAGGCCTCATTTTCTCCTTCTATAAAATAAGTGGGAGGAACTAGATGACTTCTGAGGTTCCTCCCAGTTCTAGATCAATGATCTTGTGCACAATGGATAAAAGACATACCTTTCAGTCTGGAAGAACAGGGTTCAAATCACATCTCTGACACATACCAGCTCTGTTACCATTTGGATCTCACAACCTCTCAGTGTCTTAGACAATTCTCTAAGACTATATACACTAAAGAAGGGTCTGTATCAGACAGGCAATGTGGTATAGTGGACAGAGTGCTGGATGGCCTGGGTTCTAATCCTGACTCTGCTATAGGACCTATTCTGTGGGTCCTCTACAAAGACCTATGTGACCTTGGGCAGGTCATTTCATTTCTCTGTGCCTTTGTAAAATGATGGGGTTGGGCTATGACTGTTAAGGTCCCTTCCATTTCTTTATCTATGATCCCCATCAGAAGTTCCCCCATACTGAGGAAGCCTTAGGTCCAAATTTCCCTCCTCCCGAATTTTATGGCACTTCACAAGGTTTGTGAAGTACTTTCCTCACAAGTCTGGAAGGTAACAAGGACAAAAATAATTATGTAATTAACCCAATTTTACAGATAAAGAGAACAGGATCTGGGCAGGGCAGTCACTTGCCCAGGGTCACATAGGATATGTCCCTTTTGCTGGATATCGGGTTAAATTTACTGATGGTGGACATCCCCCCAAGGCTCTGTCTTGGGCCTTCTTTACTTCTCCTTCTATACATTTCAGTTGGTGATCTCATCAGCTGCCATGGATTCAATGATCATCTCTATACAGATGATTCTCAGATCCATTTATCCAGCCCTAACCTGTTTCCTGATCAACTAGTGTCATATCTGTAACTGCCTATTAGACATCTCAAACCGGATGTCCCATAGATTTCTGAAACTTAAAATGTCCAAAATAGAACTCCTTATTTTCTCTTACAAATCCTTTCCTCTTCTGAACTTTTGTGTTAGTATTGAGAGTATCACCATCCTCTCAGTCACTCAGGCTCACAGCCATCATTGACTCCTCTCTCTCTCTTTGTCTGTCTGTCTCTGTCTGTCTCTGTCTCTGTCTCTGTCTCTCTCTGTCTCTCTCTCTCTCTCTCTCTCACATATTCAATATGTTCCCAAGTCCTGTCAATTTTAGGTTTATAAAACCTCTCATATATGCCCCCTTCTCTGCTCTCATCACCTCATACCTGGACTATTGCAATAGCTTCCTGGCTGGTCTCTCTGCTTCTGATTTCAGCCCATCTTCCACTCAACTGTCAAATTAATCTTCCTAAAGCCCAGGTCTGACCATATCACACACATACACACACACACACACACACACAGACACCCCTTAATAATAATAACTAATAATATAATTTATATAGTGCTGTAAAGTTTGCAAAGTGCTTTACAAATATGCCATTTTATTCTCACAAGTAGGTACTATTATTATCCCTATTTTACAGGTGAGGAGACTGAGACAGGCATTGGTGAAGTGACTTACCCAGAGCCACATAGCTAGTAATTGAGGTTGGATTTAAACTTAGGTCTTCTTGACTCCAGGTCCAAAGCTCCATACACTCTGATACCTAGCTGCCTCAATAAACCATTCAATCCTATTCACCAAATTATAATGGTTCCCTATTACCTCTAGGATCAACATAAAATCCTCTTTTTGGGTTTTGAAGCCCTTTATAAACTGGCCCCTTCTTACCTTTCCAATCTTCTTACATCTTACTCCACTCTGCATGACACTGGCCTTCTTGCTGTTTCTGGGACAGGACTCTTTCTCTCTCCACACTCTGGGCATCTTCCCTGGCTTTCTGTCTCCCCTGCCTGGAATGCTCTCCCTCCTAATCTCTACATCCTGGCTTCCCTGGCTTCCTTCAAGCCCTAGCTAAAACCCTACCTCCTGCAATAGGAAGTTTTTTTTTCCTATCCCTTTAATGCTAATGCCTCCCCTCTAAAATTAGTTTATATATGTGTGCGTGCGTGTCTATATATCTTTAGCTATATATCTTGTTTGTACACAATTGTTTGCATGTTGCCTCCCTCATTAGCTAGAGGCACCCAGATGGAGGAGAAAGGGAGGAAGGAGACAAGCATTTATTAAGCACCTACTATGTGCCAAGGACTGTTCTAAGAGCTTTACAAATATTATCTCATTTGATCCTCACAACAACCCTGGGAGGGAGGTCCTCTAGCACTGGGCCTGGAATAGGAAGACCTGAGTTAAAAATCTAACTGCAGACACTTACTAGCTGTGTGACCTTGGGGAAGTCATGTTGCCTCTGTCTACCTTAGTTTTCTCAAATGTAAAATGGGGATCGTAATAGTGCCTACCTCCCAGAGTTGTAGTGAGGACAGTGTCTGGCATAGTAGGTGCTTCATAAATGTTTATTTCCTTTCTTTCCTTCCCCATTAGATCCTGCACCCCTTGAGGACTGGGATTGTCTTTTGCCTTTCTTTATACCCCCAGCGCTTAGCACAGCGCCTGGTACATAGTAGATGCTTAATAAATGCTTGTTGACTTGTTGACACAGCAAGTCGATGTCAAGGCTGGGACCCAAATCCAGTGCCCTTTTGCCTGTACCATACTGACTTATCCTTTTCCTCTTATCCTTTACATTCTTAAAGCATTTTGCACTTTTCAAAAGCATTTTCACTCTCTTATTTAATCCTTACCAAATCCCTGTGACATAGAAAGGACCATTCATTCACAAAATTGAGTTTTACTGTGGAAAGAACCTTGGATTTGGACTCAGGGAACCAGAATGGAATCCCAGCTCTGGTAAGTACCTGATCTTGAACAAATCACTTAACTTTTGGGGGCTCAGTCCCATCTATAAAATAAGGAGTTTGGAAGAGACGGCTCCGTCTGAGATCTCTCCAGCTCAAAACCCTACAAATGTGCAGAACACATTTATTTAGATGAGATTTGGTTCCTGTTCTCCTAGAGCTTAGAGTCTAAAAGGAGAGTAGACACACACACACACACACACACACACACACACACACACACACTATTGTTTTCATTTTCCAGACTAGGAAACAGAGGTCCAAGGGTCAAGGTCACACCTTAAACTAGTGATGAGCCTGGATTCAAAAACCCCAGTCTCCAGACCACTTTAGTAATCTCAGGAGTCTTGACCAGGCCTGCCTACCAGCTAGAGGTTGCCTAATCCCTGCTCTGGGCCAAACCTAGAGGGGAGAGAAGATGGAGATTCAAAGTGTAGGGGAAGACTTTTAAGTCAGTCAGTCCATAACCATCTATGAAACACCTACTATGTGCTGGGCATTGCGCTAAGTGCTGGGGATACAAAGACAGGCAAAAGTCAGTTCCTGCTCTCTTAGAATTCAATCTGATGAAGCAGAAAACATTTAAATAACTATGTACAAACAGAATATATACAGGTGCCATCTAAAGTGTTAAGGAACAATGAAATTCATTCGTAAACTCTATCCACCAGCAATGCACTCTCTCCCAGTCTGTTCTTGGGGCCCCCAAGCATCTCTGGCCCTAGGTCCTATGGTTCTAGGAGGTCATCACACACAGAGACCCAACTCTCCTGATCCTGTAAACTTTAAAATATTATATAAATGGAACTATTATCAGTAGTAAACCTGTGGACTAGAGAATGAGACTGATTAGTTGCAGACTATGTCCACTGCCGGGAGCTAGGTGGTAAAGTGGATAGAGCACTCACTGGGCCTGGAATCAGGAGCTTCATTAAGTTCAAATCTGGCTCTAGACACTTACTAGCTGTGTGACCTGGGCAAGTCACTTCACCCTGTTTGCCTCAGTTTCTTCATCTGTAAAATGAGCTGGAGAAGGAAATGGCAAATCACTCCAGTATCTTTGCCAGAAAATCCCAAATGGAGTCACAGGGAGTCAGACACAAGTGAAACAACTCCATGACAACAAAGTGTCTGCAGCTGAGGCATTCCATTAGACTATAACCTCCCTGAGGGTAGGGACTGTATTTTTATTTGTATTTGTATCCCTAGTACTTAGCATAGCACAAAACAGGTACTTAATGAATGTTTATTCACTGATTGAGGAAAAAAACCGTCAACAATTTATGGCTGTGTCTTACTCATTGGATGTCAGCGAGTCTGGGTGAGTCTCTGTGAGTGTGGATATATGTATCTTCTGTGTTTGCACGAGGCTTATAGAATCACACCTTTTAAAGTGAGAAAGAATCTCAGAGGTTAAACAGTGAACCCCCTGACATCAAATTGGGATGAAACCTTAGAAACTTCTAGTTCAGTATCTCTGTATTACAAAAGAGGAAACTGAGGCCAGAGGGTAGGGCAGGTGTTCAAGGTAGCACAGCATTTCAGGGGTAAAGATGGGGTGAGCCCAAAGGCTCTTGATTCCTGGGCCAAAGCTCTTTGCACTATACCATACTGTCTGTCTATTTCCTTGCTGGGGGGACAGCCGGGCTCCTTTGTAGAAGAGCTGATAAATGAGGTAGGAGAAAGGAAAGAATTAGCATCTGGAGTCAGAGGCTTGAGTTCAACAGCAAACTCTACTGCTAACTACCTCAGGTACTTTAACCTCTATAAGCTTCAGTTTCCTCCTCTATAAAGTGAGGGGGTTGAGCTAGATCACGTCTAAGGATCCGCCCCTAAATTGCCCCCAACCCCAATTTCCTGCATGTGTCTCCCCCCATGTGATTTTCTTTCTTATTCCTTACCTTTACTTCCTTTTCCAGGTAGTCACACAGCAGAATCTGGGGGTCGATGAGGTAGTCCGGGGGATACAGGGGCACAGAGTGGAGGGGCCGTCGGCTCACAGGACTTCTCCCAGCCGACCGACGCCCTGTCTTAGGGAATACCAGCCGGCGGATAGGAGACACAAAGCCCTAGGGAGGCAAGGGGGGTTAAGAAGCCTGGGGAGGGGCCTCCAAGCCAAAGACCCAAGGGCTCAGCCAGGCTTCGGTGGGCCTCCCCTGCTCTGCCGGTGTGTACTTAAACCTTAAACCTTGTATGACTTGGGGATTCCCAATAAGGACAGAACTAGGGCAGGGCCAGGGGTGTGCTGGAGGCATCTCCTGCCTCTGAGTTTACTGTTAAATTTCAGTGTGAGGATTTACACCTCGAATACTGATAAACACTGCAAGTCAGGGCTTGATTTACCATTTTGTGGATTGTCTAGATTGAAGAAAGTGACTGAGAAAATATTAATAATGCAGATTAAACTTAAGTGTGTTGTGTGTACTTTTTTAAAAAAGAGAATTGGTTGTTAAACATTTGCCAGCACACCCCTAAACAGGGCTGTACTATTGGGACATTAAATATAACCAGAGTCTGTGTGAATACATGAGTTGTGTGTATTTGAGTGTGCAGTTACACTACAGGGAGTATGAATGTGGATGGGTGTCTGTGAGTGAGTATGGATACATGTATCTTCTATGTTTGCATATGGTTCCTAGGATCACAGGTTTAGAAGTCACCTGGTCAACCCCCTGATTTTACAGGTGAAAAGACCTGAGGCCCAGAGGAGTCAAGTGACTTGTCCAAGGTCACCCAGGTAGGAAGTGTAAGAGCTGGGACTGGGCCTTCGACTCTAGCCTTCTATTCATTACTTCTTTTCGTGTGTGTGTGTGTGTGTGTGTGTGTGTGTGGAGTGTGAGTTCTTGCATTTGAGTGTCCTAGTTTCTGTGTCCTTGTGAATGCATTAGTCCATGTGCATTCAAAAAGGTATATGAGCACACGTGTATATTTGTGAGTCTGTATTTGGCCAAGTAAGTTTACAAACCCTAAAACCCTCCTTTGAATCTTGGCTTGTTTAGCTTCTAAGCATCGATTGACCTCCAGGGGGAAAGTATAAGTCTCTGAGCAGAAGAGATAGGCCTATTCTGAAATTAGAGACATGGTAATTTTCAGAGATGGATGGACAGACAGGTAGCTGTCATTTATGTAGTTCTGAACATGTATTATCTCATTTGAACCTCAAATCTATTGTGCAAGTTAGGGTCTATGAGTATTATGATCCCCATTTCACAGATGAAGAAACTGAGGCCCAGAGAGATTAAGTGACTTACCTCCCTACCCATGGTTACACGGCTAGTAAATGTTAGAAGTGGAATTTGAACCCAGGTGTTCCTGACTCTGAGTCTGGCACTCTACTGACTATACCTCACTGCCTATGGGCCCAGATACAAAGAAACAGACAGAGATCTATCTCTGAGGGCCAGAATTCCTAGGATGGGCTTCGTGACCTGGAACCCACCTTTATCCCAATCCAAAAAAAGATAATTACTAGGAGAGAACTTTAAAAAGAGATTCAGGAAGGGGGTTCTGAGGATAGATAACCAGGAAGGTCCAGAAAGCGGGGTCTACTAAGAATATTGGGGAAACAAGTTTGGGGTAGCAGTCTGGATCAATTAGTCTCCCTAATCCATGTGGTTCTAGGGATATGGTCCAGAGTCTAGAGCCACTGAGCAATGGGATGGAAGAAAGTTTGGGGTCTGCCTACCTGTCTTTTTACTGGAAAAGATCCTGGGAACAGGAACCACTGAGAGCAGCTGGGGACTCAGTTTAGGATGCTGCACCAGTAAGTATCAGCACAGTCAGAGAGGCAGAGCAATTGATCTTTGAGCCAATAATCCTGACAAGAGCCCTGGCCTCTCTACCTCTGAGTTGTCCATAATCAGCTCACAAAAACAGTCTACAGAGGTTTCTGGGCCAGTGTCCCTAAACCAAACCACTTATTGAGAGGCTCACAGTTAACAAGAAAGCAAAAGACAGTCCCCAAGAGACAGACTTAAGAGAAGTCCAATATTGTGTTCTCTACCCAGCTCACCTGCCCCACAGGCTCTTCCCAGGGACACACACGCAGCTCAGGGGAACAGAGACAGACAGAAAGTCTACCCCAAAATTCAGACTCTTCAGCTAGCTCTTCTATGCCACCCAATGAGGTGACACCTGGATCTCCCTCTTATTAACACAATCAGCTCTGAGAAAAGGGCTGGCTTGGGAAGCTGTTTTTATTAAACTAGCCATGGGAAGCTCAGAACAGGGAGAAGCTGGTGCCTTTGTTAGAACTGTCTTTACTGCTCTCCAGTCTTCCTAACTGTACTAACACAAAGCTCAAGTACACTTTTCTCTCAGGGCTTCATTTCTTCATTTGTAAAAGGACGGAATTGGACTAGAACCGGGGTTCTTCATTTTCTCCATCAGTAAATCAGCTCACCCTATCAGCAAATTTGGATAAGGAAAAAATTACATCTTTATTTCAATGTAATGGGTTTCCTTTGTATTTTGCTTTATGCATTTAAAGACAATATTTTGAGAAGGGGTCTATAGGCTACAGGAGACTGCCAAAGGGGTCTGTAATACACAAAAATGTTAAGAAACCCTGGATTTAAAAAAAAAAAGTTGGTCTCTGTGTTCCCTCCAGCTCTGAGTTCTGTGATCAGTCTATCTATCTCAGGGAGCAGGGAGAGAGAACAGGATCCCATCGGTCAACAAGAGAGTCCCTAACATTGGCTTCATCCCTCCAGATGCACCTTTTCCTCCTCTCGATCCTGCCCCCTCCAGGATTCCCCATTTTCTGGGCCCTGAAGCCCATTCCCAAGCCACAGATCCAAACATACCTTTCTCCCTTTCTTCCCTTCGAACTCCATGGTGTGTCCCCCCAACCCCCAGCTCTCTACTGGCTGGAAATTTTCTTTGTTGTATTTCCTGCCTCGGAAACTCCACCAAGCACACCAGGAATTCCTGCCCCTCCTGGCCCGATAAGAAGCACTGGACTAAAGCGGGTGGAGATGCCAGGGACCCCAGGCAAAGGGAAGGAGTTCTGAGTAGGGTGGCAGCCTCTCTTGGAGAGATCTGGGTAAGAACAGAGAATAAGGGGGAAGATATGGGAACTACCATTCCCAAGGGCTGGTAGGAGATAATCAGGGCTGGCAAGGCACACCTGCTGGGTCCTATGTGGCTACACTTTATTCCTAACCAGACTTTGTGACTAGGGATGAAGTTTCCCTTTCAGACTCATTAAAAGCACAAAGTCGTCCTCTGTCCTCATACTGCCCCTGGCTACCTAGGACCCAATGCTAGGCCCTACCCACTCAGGATCCCTTCCTAATGCCTTCACTCCTCTCCATCCCAAACTATGTCAGATCTAATGAACACTCAAAGGATCACAGGACCCCCATTCAGAAAGGATTTTGGAGGGCATCTAGTCCAACCTCTTCAATCTATAGATGGAGCTGAGACCCAGAAAGGGGCCTCATCTATGGTCATACAGGTGGCAAGCATGGCTTTGAACCCAGTTCTGTTGACTCCATACCTGGAACTGTTTACATTATACCACAGACAGAGATGTGCTGTTAAATGGCTAACCCTCTTCCCCAAATCTGTTTTCAAGATATACTTTTAAACTTAATTTGCATTATTAACACATTCCTAAATCTACTCAACTATCAACAAAAACAATTAATCAAGTCCTAATTTGTAGCGTTTGCAGATCCCCAGGCTGTAGAAACTCACACTGACATGATCAGCTGTGGCAAGCTGGTAAGAGGGGTTCAAGCACAGCCCTGGTACATGAGTCAGCACTAGGTTGTGAATGTCTAAAACTTGGTGGAATGAGCCCAGAACTAGCTTCAAGAGACTGGGGTTCTAGTCCCAGGTCAGACCCTGACTTTCTTCATTTGCTGTATGACCCTGTATAAATTGCTTAACTTTCCTGGGCCTCAGCTTCCTCATCTGTTTAAAAGGGAATAATTGTTTACCTCAAAGCAGGGTTGTGAAACTCAGCTGAGAAGGAATGGAAAAGTACCAAAGACAGAAAAAAATAAGAGATTATTCAGGAGAAGCAGCAATGGGTGTATTGATTTAAATAGTCTGTTCTAATTCCAGTTCCGCCACCATCGATATGTGATCTTGGGAGGGTCATTCATGTTCCTTCTCTGGGCTTCAGTTACCACGTCTTTCAGAAGGGTTAGACTTAACAGTGTCTGAGGTCCTTTCCAGCTCTGACATTTTGTCGTCTGTTTTTGGAAAATATAGGTACATGCTTAGGTTCACGGTTCATGTAGGAGTTCTCAGGCCCTTCCTCCCTCTCCCACCCTTCCCCACCTCCCCACCCCCAGAGGCCAGATGGCCTGGGCTGGGAAGGTCTAGGCCCTATAATTGCTTCCTCCTTCCTCTCTGTATATCCTGTGCTTCTAGCCACGGTGGCAGGAAGCTGGTCTGGACCAGGCTTCAGTCCCCGGCAGGAAGAGAGCAGATTTAGTTCCTGTCCTCTCTGACAAATTCTCCTAGTCAGTTTAGACCTCCTCAGCAGTGCAAATACCCTCAAAGATCTTGGGTATTGTCTGCAAATTCATAGGGTTGCTTGTGGAAGGAAAACCAGGTTTTCTTTTGTATTTGTAGTGAAAAAGCAGTACAGGATAATGGAAAAAATGCTGGGTTCGAGTTCAAATCCTGTCTCAAGCACTTACTAGATGTGTTACCTAAGGGCCTTACCTTCAGCCTTCGTTTTTAAGCCTTAGAGTTTATCTGTAAAATATGGAGAGTAATATTTATATTGCTTAAGTTGCAGAGTTGTTGTGAGGAAAATGCTTTATAAACTTCTTGTTTTTTGGTAGAGGGGAGGCAATCAGGATTAAATTACTTGCCTAGGGTCACATAGCTAGTAAGTGTTATGTGTCTGAAGCTGAATTTGAACTCAGATCCTTCTGATTCCAGGGCCAGTGTTCTATCCATTGTGCCACCTAGCTGCCCCACTTTGTAAACTTTTAAGTGCTACAGGAATGTGAGAAATGATTATTTTTGTGCTCTCCAAGCATATGTCAGCTGGTAGGGAGATATCGGAGCTAGAAGTTACTCTAGAGATTACTTAATCTAACCCCCCTAGCATAGGCTTCCACCCCCTCTTCCCTAGAATATTTCATTAGTCTTCTAACCAGTGTCTAGTCTCTCCCCTTCTATTCCTTCTATATTCATTTTCCTAATGAACAATTTTGGCCATGCCCTTCCCCTTGTTGAAGACCCTTCAGAGGCTTCCATCTATTCACAGGGAAAAGTCGGAAATAGGTAATCTGTTGAAATCCTTCTTCTTTAAGGCTTGGCTCAGATGCCACCTCCTCCGTGATGCCTCCTCGCCTTTCCCCCACCCACCTCCCTGAGCCAAAAGTGCTCTTGTCTTTGAATTATTTGATGACATTTTGTTTCTTCTTCTCTTATATCACTTATCATATACCAAGAGCCCTGGATTTGAAGTCAGGAGAACTCAGTTCAAATTGTGACTCTACCTACTAACTAGTTTTATGACTTTGGGTAAGTCTCTTAACTTCATTAGGCTTCACTTTTCCCATCTGTAGAAAGAAGGGTTTGGATGGTCTCTCGTTGTACTTAGAAAGTAGGGGCTCAAAGCAGTCTAACTGATTGGTTTATCCTTTTCTCCAATCAGTGGAGGAAATCAAACACAAATTTCACCTTCTCCCAACCCCATCCCTATTCCCCACAGCCAGAGCAGGAGGTATGCAGGAGGACTCACTTCTCATGCCCAGTAGGATGTCAAGATTTGGGAAGAAGGCCCAGTTCACTCCCTGTTAATCCCAGCTGGTCTTGCTGCCATCCCATCCCCAACTTCCTCCTAAAGACACCCCCATCTCTTGGCACATATCCCCAACAGTGGCTGTTCCTTCTCACACACCCCCTGATGCTTATCAAGATGAGTTAGCACACTTCTGTCTCCCTGTGCCCCTTTTACACACTCTCTCTGATACTATCACTCAGTAATAACCTTTAAAGTTTTCTTCATCCTGTCCAGCTCCCTGTTGCAATGATCTCTGTATCTCTGGGTCACTGTCCCTTCTCTCCAATAAGTTCAGTACCTGGCTCACATCTTCTCTTCCCCAATCTCTACTCACTTTCCAACACCGTAGTCTCCCAGTTTCTCAGCCGACTCAGTTCCCATGACTTGTTTCCACGTTACCTCAACCTCTCATAGGACTAGATGTTGGGTCCCCAGCCCCACCCCCAACCCCCATTGATTTTTCCCCCAGGTGTCAGAATTCCTGGTTGCTGCTCTGAGGCAGACCCTTCCCCCAATGAGGGAGGCTTGGAAGGGAGACCAAGCTGTGGCCTCCCATCTATCTCTCCTTCTCTAATTCAGGAAACATCCACAAGAGCCAGAGGGGTTTGTACTGAAATGACTTTAATATCTCATGTTGCAGCAAAATTAAAAATATACAAAAAGTTTGTGGCATACAAAAAAGTCTCAGTACAGAAAGCCCGGCCTGGGGATCCCCCAGTTTCCCCCCTGCCTAGGCCCAAGAGAGGAAGGCAGAGGAAGAAGAGGGTGGCACCAACAATATTGAAGTACATGGAGGGAGATGTAAGAGCTGAGGACAGAGGGAGGGTGCAACGGAATTGAAAAGGGGAAAGAGGGGATGAGGATTGGCAAGGCTAGTAGTACCCAGTAGGGCAAATGAGCTGACAGAGAGCCCACTGAGCAGAAGCTGCTGGGGCTTAAGCTGAGGGAAGGAGTCCATAGTTGGGGATTCCTGTCAGTCAATAGCCAGGCAAGGAGTAGGGGATGGGGAGAAAGGAGGAAGAAGAGGGATGAGTTCAAACTTGAACCATGTCTGAATTTGGAATCACATCTAAAATGGGGGCTATATCCGGAATCCGATCTTTATAGGGCCCCTGGAGCCAAGCCCCATGAACTCTGCAAAGGGCAAGAGCTTAGTAAATGCTTGTTGAATTAAATTCAGTGTAGGACTGGACAAGCTTGTGGGTCTGAGGAGACTTCAAAGCACTGAACTCATAGAGCTTTAGCCCTATGGGAACTCAAGGGGCAGCTTGTGGCTGATAGAGATTCCAGCCAGGGCAGGCAGGGCTCTCTCAGGTGGTCTGGATGCTCTCTCCTACGCCTGGTCTGAGTCATTCACAGGTGGAGCCAAGAGCCCCCTCCCGGCCTGCAATGTGGCTGTCCCCCCACCTTCCCTTCAATTATTGCAAGTGCCCCCAGTCCCCATGATTATGCATAGAAATGTGCCTTCTCAGGATGCCTCCCCAGGTAAGGAGGATCCCATATGTTCAGGACCTTCCTGGACAGAGGGAGCTGAGGTGCCATGACACTGTCAAGGAGGACCCAGCAAGGCCTATGTCTCAGGCTCTTCATTCCATCCCACTTCCTGGCAGTCATATTCCCAGGGACAGTTCTGGGCTTGGAAGATGAGGTTTTTCCTTCTACCTCTGATTCCAATTCCCAGCTTCTTCTTTTCTTGGGTAACCCCCTTAGCAGAACTAGACAACCAATGCTCTCTCTCTCTCTCTCTCTCACACACACACACACACACACACACACACAGCCCACAGCATCTTCCAAGCTGTTCCCTCCCACCTACACCTGTACCCAAACCCACCCATCACAGCCCTCCCAAGGTCAGAGCAGACCCACTAGGGAACAGCAGTTTGGTGTGCATCCCAAACCAAAGCCTGTAGGCCAAAGAACCTTTCCGTACTAACCCTCCCTCCCCAACTTGGCATATTCTGGGATGCTACCCACATGGCTTGGTGATATCTGGGCCCATTCCTGCAAAATATCTTAAAGCACTTTAGCAACAGGTTGGTGCTGTCTCTCATCCTCAAGGGAGAGGGGAGAAAGCATAGAAAGGGCAAAAGAAGGGGCTGAGTCCTTGGAACCCATTCCTGCTTGTCACCCATACACTCTTCTTCAGTGTCCCTTGAGGTGGGGGTAGAAGGGAGAATCGGACTTAGTCCCTTCCTTTACTAAATGGCCCCTGAACCCTGGCGGGTAGTATGGATTTAGTGAGGCAGTGCCTGGGTAGGGATAGTATCCTGTGATCTGGCCTCATTGGGCACTGAATGTGACCCTAGCCCTTTATCAGTGGTTGTCCCTGAAGAACCAGGGGGCCTTGGTGGTATGTGTTGGGAGGGATGGTGACTGTCAGTGGTCTCTGAGTGGGAAATGGCTCCTGAGGCCCACAAATAGCCAGACTGGAGATAGGGTGAGGACTCTGTTATTGGCAGGGATGGCGGGGTGGGAGTCCAGAAGGAAGGTTGCTAAGCCCCATCAAACCCAGCACTGTGGCAGAGAGGAGAAACAGAAGCAGCACCTCAATTAGCAGAAGACAATGAACTCAATCCCCAGACTCAAGTTCATTCCCAACTAAGAGCCTCTAGGCTCTGATGATTTCTGCTTTGTTCCCGCCTTCCAGCCCTCAAAGTTAGAAACTAGTAATTAGACTAATCCAGAACAGGCAGAGCTGTAGAGCTCTAGACCTGGCCTGGTGCTAAAGTCAAATCAGGAAGGGTTTCTGGCTCCAGGTAGGTTCCAAAGTCAGACATTATATTCCAGGTAGATTCTGGCTCTAACCTGCATCTCTTCCACCCTGGAAGCTAAATCCTTTCTAAGTCTCACTAGTTTGAGAGAAGACAAGTAGCAGACTCCAACTCCTCCCCAGCCGTGAGATCTCAGGGAAGCAGCTCTGCCTCCCTTCCTGGTCACGGGACTTTTCCCCAGCCACCTGATGGAGATGCTACCCCTGGGGAGCAGGAACGGAGTTTTTCAGCCCCTCCTAGCCCTGCTTATAATGGCAAGGACCTGGAAGAGTGACAGCAGCAAGCTTATCCTGTACATCTATATTTCAGAAGCCTTCTCATCAGTCCCAAGGAGCATCCATGAAATCCCCAACTTCCCCAGGGAGCTTAGAGGGGTCCAAGTTCCTTCAGAGCCTCATGGGTTAAGGATAGAGGGAAGAGGGGTCTTAGCTGACCTCTGAGAGCTCTTCTACTTCTTAAGATTTTGAGAAGGATGAAGAATTCAGAGGGGCAGAAAGACAAGGACTCTCAAGGAATGTCCACAATACAGGAAGAGGAGAGAAGATTCCCAGGTCATCTATTTTTTTTCTCCAACTGCAGACCCCCTTCCCTCTTCTTCCTTGGACAGACTCCTTGTCTTTTCACCTCCAAGTTAAAGACCTCCTGCTCCCAGCCCAGGAATAGGTCTGCCTACTCCAACTGGACCTCCCTGGCCTAGGGCTGCCCCAAGTTTCCTGCTTGGATCTGGGTCTTCTAGCTGACCTAGTACCAGCCACAAAGCAGTGAACAATAGAAAAAAGCCTCCATTGACCCCCAGAAAAGCAGCCTAGCCAGCCAGCCCATCAGTGTATCTGGCAGCAGGATGTGGGCATGAAAGGTGTAACACTTAGGGGGTGAAGAGTAAGGACAAAGGACTTGGGTAGGTGGGGAGAGGAGTTGTCTGTATCCAGGAGGCAGTTGATTGATACCCAGGGTATCAGTAACAACCTGGGACCATTCAATGGGGGTAGGTTCTGTGCTGTACTGGGAGGAGAGGGGGGAGGACATGGTAACAAGGCACATGGTACAGTCAGTGCATTGGGTGGGTGTGGTTGGTGTGGTTCAGCCTGGGAACCTAATGGGGCACTGTGGCTGGTGCATATGGTGATGGTGGTGGGGCATGTGTGTTGGGGTGTGTGTATGTGTGGAGAGAGAGAGAGAGAGACAGAGACAGAGACAGAGAGAGACAGAGAGAAAGAGATTATATGACCTGGGGACCACTGGGGAGAGACAAGAGTCCAAGTAACCTGCACAGTGTGAGAACATCTGACCCCAGAGGGTAGGCAGTGTCAGGGGGTACAACATGGAATTCACTCACATGAGACCAGGCACTTTTCATGCTCACTCTTAATGATGATCTGGTAGCAAGCTGGAGAAGTTAGGGGACCCTTGGGCTTAACCTGACCCTCTCACAGAATCACAGAGCTGGATGAGGCCTTCAAGATGATCTCATTCAACTCCTTCATTTTATAGGGGAAGCTGAGGCCCAGAGAGGGGAATATGATGAGTCAGTAGCCTAACCAAGTATCTAATAATAATCGTGATCGTTAGGGCCTTTATGGGTTTGTAAAGCATTTTATGTTCCCTACCCAAACCCAGAGTGTAGGAACCTGATGCTTCCTCCAGTGTTGAGGGACCACATAGAAGCAACAGGAAAGAAAGGTGTGAGGTGAGGTGTCAGGGTCGGCAAAACCTCCTATTTCCACCCCATCAACAAAGCTCCTTGGTGGAGACCTGGTTTCTAATGTTGGCTCTGCCACTAATTCTCTTTATGACTTTGGTCAAGCCCTTCCCATCGCTGGGCCTTAGTTTCTTCATCTGTAAAATGAGGGGATTGGGCTAAATGATCTCTAGTTCCCTTCTGGCTTCTTCTGTGAATCAAGGGACCTGGACTCTGCCCTTACATAGCTGTGTGACTTCGGGCAAATCATCTCCCTCTCTGAGCCTCAGTTTCCTGATTTGTAAAGAAAAGAGTCTCTAGGGCATCTCCCAGTAATAACATTCTGTGATTCTATGAGCTTACACTCACTTAAGAGATCAAAAAGAGCCCTAGGAAGGTCCCAAGAAAGAAGAATGTGAGAGGGAGGGATGCAGACAACCAAAGGCCAGACAGGGAACAGAAAGACCAGCTGAGGTAGATCATGTCACAGGAAGGAAGACAAAAGGACACCATAGATACCCCTGGGGGAGGCCTGGGTAGTCAGAGCTAGAGCTTGGTCAAGGCATCCCTGGTCAAAAGCTCACACTGCTGAAGACCAAGCCCTGTCGCCTCCTAGACCCAAGTGTCTATCTCTACCCCCAGGAATGGGCTAATGCCCAAGCTTAGAAACAATCACATAAAGTGGCCCAGACTGTGAGTCAGAAGATCTGGATTTCACTTTTGACTCTGCCATTCGCCAACTGTTTGAGTCTCAGCCACAGTTTCTTCGGTACTCAGATGAGAACTTGGATCAGATGATCTTCAAGGTCCCTTACAACTCTGAATCCTGGAGACCTCGTTTTGAATTCAGGTCCTGCTGCTTATCAGCTGTCTACCCTTAGACAAATCACTATATCCCCCAGGCCTCAGTTTCCTTTTCTGTAAAATAAGGGATGAAGCTTCAAAAGTGAGCTCAAAAGTCTCTTCAAGTTCTGAATTCTATGATCCTGGAATGCTGAGACTTCCAAACTGGTTTGAAAGCATTTCAGATTTGGGAACAAAGCAAAGAAAGACCTAGAGCCTGTCTGCTTAGATGCTTCAGAGACCCAAACCTCTTTTTCTTTCTTAGAGCTGCCCCCAGACTTTGGGGTTCTTGAATTCCTTTCCATAATCTGGTAGTAGAAAGAGGCCTTCATTGGAGATGGAGTCTTTGGGAGCTGAGCCCTATAGGGAATGGGAAGGAAGAGATTTTGTCCCCATTTTCTTGCTAAGACTAGGGAGTCCAAGACTGATAATCTTTCAGGCTCGTGCCTAGCACAGATCCTTAGAAAAAGGGAGCCTATATTCCCACCCTGTCTCTGACACTCACTAGCTATGTGACCTTGGACACAACCCAACCTCTCTCTGAATCTTAAATTTCCTCCTCTATAAAATGGAGATCTAGGCCAGGGGAACCAGAAAGCCATTCTTGGCTGAAAAATGGAAATACCTATCTTCAGGGCAGGTCTGGCCAGGTTTAGGTCTCACCTCAACCTGGTCTTAGCCCCCTCCTTCAGCCATGTGCTGTTTAGCCCACCATTCTGGGACTCTCCAGAGGTGGATGTAGAAGGTGGGGAGAGGTGGAGAAGCAGCTCTGTGTGTCGGCATGATAAGATCTATACATGATTTCACTGTATGGGGATATTTGTGAAAAAATGTCATATGTGCTTAATGGGGGTTGCATCAAGTGCTATGTATGTGGGGTATGTGTATGTGTATATATGCATGATATGTGTGTACACTTGTGTGTACATTGGGAGTTACTTTGCACTCTAAGTCCTGCCCTTTTTTCAACCCTTCTCCCCACCCCCCTTTAGTAGAGACAGTGTCCACCTGAGTGCAGGCTCATGGTTTAGGGGAAAGAACTGGAGGCTGGGTATCAATAAACCTGGCTTCTATTCCTCCTCTGGAGCTAACTTGCTGTATAAGCTTCGGCAAGTCACTTCCCATTCCAGGGCCTCAGTTTCCTCATCTGTAAAACAAAATGGTTGGACTGGATGATCTCTAACCCCACCCTATCCCCAACCCCAACTCAACTTGGGACCCTCAGGCATCAAGTTGGCCTTTAAGAGGGGCCCTATTCTCAGTTCTCACTCCCACTATGTTCGATTCATATTTTAGTCATCTGGCCTGCCCTCATCTCTCCCTGCAGTCCCAGTTTAGAGGCTGGGCTGAGAATACACCATCCTGATTCTGGGCGTTCTTTGGGAGAACAGGATGTCTCAATCTTGACCCCAGGGCCTGAGCATTTCTTTTTCCCTCCCAAGGAATACCCTGAGGCTGCCCCAGGTTGGACTCCCTTGGTCTGAAAGCCCTGGGAGACATCTACAGGACCCTGGGTTCTGTCCCGAAGCCAAAGGAGTCATTTCCCAGGTGCCCCAGGGCAGGGCTGCAGCAGCTGAGAACCAGAAATTCCTGTTATTCCCCCAAAGCCTGAGTTTCCCAGCTAGGAAACAGTTGACAGAATTTATATCCTTAATAATTTGTTTTTTAAAATCCCCAATAATTTCCAAATCGTATTTTCCCCTTTGGATGGCAGCTGTGTCACAAAGTGGTCAGGAGCCTAGAGCCTTCTGTGAGCCTTAGACTCTAGAATCCACAGAATGTCCCTCATACATGGGTTCCTCATCCCAAAACCTCCCAATAAGGACAGGGTTCAGACCTCAGCAGCCTATCCTAGAAGGAAAAATTACAGCGCTAAGGAGGTCCCATAGACACACTGTCCCCAGAGCTCTACTACAGAGAGGCATCTACAACCTGCCTAGCAGAGTCTAGACCAAAAAAACATGTATAGACTCAGAATATTTCCCAGACAGTATTCTAGAAACTCCCTTATGCCCTGGCATATGGAGGGTATTATAGTGGATGCTAGACATAGTGGATGCTGGAGCCAGAGGACCTATATTCAATTTCCAAGTCAACTATTTCATTCTAGTAGGACCCTGGGTGGGTAACCTCCCTTCTCTGGGTTTCATTTCCCTTGTCTGTAAAATGAAGTGGTTGACTAGATGATTCCTCTAAATCCTATGATCCCAAAGCCTTAACTTCTCCATATCTAGGAGCTTGGCCTTGAACAACTCCAAACCTAGACTCTCCAAACCAGATCCTGGCTAGCACCCTTAACCTCGGGAGTTCAGCTCAGCCCAGACACCCTGTGGTGCCTTGGAGGTCAAGATGTCATATGTTACCATATCCAGATCATAGACACTCAAAGGTTGTCATAGCTGGAAGGATCATCTGGTCAAACCTTCTCATTTTATAGTAGAGAAAACTGGGATCCAGAGAGAGGACATGACTTGTCCAATGACTCAACTTCAAATCCAGTCCTCTTTCCTCTAGACCATGGTGCCTTGGTCCTTTAGGTAACCGCGATACCCTACAGAGAGTGGTAATTCAACTAATGGAACCCACAGCCTCTCTGCCTTAGTTCATCAGAGGTGATGGCATTGGTGGTGGGCAGGAAATGCCATATAGAAGAGAAGACTCTGAGCCTGGTGGGGAAGTTTAGCACCAGTTAATTCCCTGGATCCCAGGGAGTTGGATGGACTGTGTATGGGAGCTACACGGGCCAGCGTATCAGTGCCAATGAACTCACCCAAAAAATTGCAAAGAAAAGGAGAGGAGGATTTCCATTGGCTGGGGTCATCATGTTCCCCTCTCTGCCACCCTTGGCCCAAGAGACCTAGCCATCCTTAGACATTCAATGGCCCTTAAAAACTCTAAGCTCAACACTGACTGGTTTAGGGGAGCGGAGCTGCCATACCCCTTGTCCCCTAACCCTGATGGTTGTGGAGCAGCCTACACTGTGGTCTCATATTCCAGTAGCTCCCGGGAGGCCCCCATGCTTCGGTATTGCAAGCGAGGGGTAGCTGGGGATGAATACTCAAGTGCCAGAATGGTCTTACGAAGCCGACGGTCTATAAAGTGGGCATCCCATGCTGGATACTTTTTTCGGGGCAGGTCTATTCGGATCACAGGCCCCTCTGTCCGGGAGGTACGGGCCACTGGCGTGACTGGGAGGCTGGGTCGGACCTGGAACACAGCTGGTGCACCACTGTCCCGGTCTCCAGGGACCCCATCTCGCTCTCCACCTGTAGTCCGGGGCAGAGACCGTGGGGGGCTGGTAACTGCATCAGCAGAGGGACCAGAAGGGCCAGCACCCACAGCCTCAGGAAAGACGCCCCTGGGAGCCTGGGGACCAAACATGGGCCCATTAGGGTGCAGGAGGCAGTAATAGACAAGCATGAAAAAGATGCCCAGGGCAAAACTAGCAGCCACCACGCACACCATGATTAAGGCGCTGAAGTCAGTGGGGAAGTTGTGGTTGTGGTACCAGAAGCCAGTCAGGGCAACATTCTCCACCAGGACAATACAGTAGTAGATGGACATCCGGCAGCGGCTGCGTCCCTCCTTGACGTTGAACCAGCAAAAAATGTAGATGATGCCCACCACCATGTTGTAGATGATCTCCTCCCACTTGGACATGCAGAAGTCTGTCTCCCCTTGGATGACCCAGAAGGTCATAACACACCAGTGGGCGACAATAAAGATGCCAAAGTAGAGCTGGTAGACGCTGGCAAAGAGTGCAAAGGCCAAGACTCGAGCGGCTATGGTAAAGAGGTGCCAGAGGATCTGGACTATCGCCCCCTTGTAGGACATGGCACGCTTGTCGTCCCTCGAGTCCCGAAGCACCTTCTGATAAGAAGCGATTATCCAGGCCAGTGACACCAGTGAGGCTGAGGCTGAGAGACCTGTGGAAACAGGGGCCAGAGGTGGGAGGTGGGGGGGAAGGGACCAGGGTTAAGGATAAGGCAAGGTCTCCAAAGGGAGGGAGAAAGGAGGTAGTGAGAGGTAGGTAGAAGGGCTCAGTGTTAGGGGCAGGGTCTCTGAGAGGAGAGATAAGGACAAGAGGTAGGTGGTAGGGGTTGGGGTAGGGATAAGGGTCAGGGTTAGGGTCTCTGAGAGCAGATAGGGTAAGAGGTCATAGAACCATAGATTTGGAGCTAAAAGGAGCTCAGAGGTCATTAGTCCAACCTACTCATTTTACAGATGTGAAAACTAAGGCCCAGAGAAATTAAGAGAATAATAAAGCTGGGATTCAAATCCAGGCCCTCTGACTCCAAATCCAATACTCTTTCTATCATATCTCCTTCTCCTCACCTTACCTCAGCACACCTACATCCTGAGGGCAGAGTCAAATTCCTGTAGGGAAACTCCTATGGAGACGATGATATTCCTGAGTATTGAGGACCAGAGAGACGGATGGAATGGGCTGGTGTGGGAGCAGAGGGGGATTTTTAAGAGTGAAGAGAGGGGCAGGAGGCAGGACCTGAGGTAGTTGGGATCAGGGCTAGGTATAAGTATAGATCAGGATCTCTGAGATTAGAAGTGTATGGGAATCTAGAAGAGGGTATTGGCAGCTGTGGATAGAAGAGGGGGATAGGGGAAAAGGCAGAGTAAGAAAGTAAGAGAATGAAGAAAAGCAGAGGATAAAGAGAGAGATGAGAGAAGAGTGAAGGAGAGATGGGTAGGAGCCAGCCAAAGGTTGGGCAGAAAATAGAAGCACAGAGTAGACAGAGGCCTGGATGATCCAGCAAACTGGAGGGTAGAAGGGACCAGGCCAAGCCAAACACTTCAGTCCAGCCTAGGGCCACTTAAGCTGAACCCAACCCAGTGATTTTGCTGACTGGGCCAGAGGGCTTTGGGAGGATTAGGACAGGAACCAAGCAGTTCTTTCAGCCAGAGGCTCCCAAGGACACCCCTGGCAGGCCTAGGGCATGGGCAGGGGAGAAAGAATGAGACAGAGAAGAAGACAGAGGTGTGAACATCAAGGAGCAGGGAGAAGGCCCTTAGCCAGATCTCAGAGGAATAAGGATATGCCAGGGGCCTAGTACCCTGGCCTACCTTGGGGTGTTCAGCAATAAATCACTGTCACCATTGATGCTAAGGAATCTCCCAAGCCAGGGGATCACGCCAAGGGGTCTCCCAGAGAAGGACTGGGAAGAATGAAGGAGCTTTGGATGAGGGACTGGGAGGGAAGAGGAGTCAGGAGCCAGAAAGGTGAGGGAGTGGTAAGGGATGGGAGGGAAGGATCCCTCAGGTGAGGGATGGGCAGTCAGTGGGCTGAGGGAAACCTGGGGTGAGAGTGGCCGGGAAAGGAAACCTGAGGGGGGTGGGGTGGGACAAGACTCCTCCTCAGGGAGGGGCTGGGAACACCCTAGGTGGCTGTCAGTGGCAAGAGGAGGTCCTAGGGTGAGGAGCTGGGGGGCCCAGGTGAGGGTGTGAAGGAGGAAGATGGGGGGATGGAGGCGCTAGGCCCTCACCCTGCAGGGCCTCGATGTGTTCCTGGAGGACCATGATGCTGAGCTGTAGCACAAGTTGCGGGGCGCTCTTCAGGAAGGCCTCCAGCAGGCGCAGCATACTGATGTCGGCGCTCTCGAACATCATGAGCCAGTAAAAGTGGCGCCTCAGTTGCTCCCCATGCCAGCGGCTCTGCAGACCCAGGTACATGGCCCGGAGGTACCTGGGGAAGATGGGACAGTGGGCAGGGGTGTGTGTGAGGGGTAGGGAGAGGAGAGGACAGGAGCTTCCTAGGGCTAGCAGCCCCCAACCACGCTCGAGGCTGAGGGATTTCCCTCCAGCCAGGTGGAAAGGCAGGGAGCAGGAGATGACTTCCGGCAGATACTGCCCTGGAGGGAGGGACGGGGACCTTAGGAAGGACAGCTCTTTTATGAGTGCTTTTTGGTTTACAAAGCACTGTCCTCAATATTCCTGGGGGTCAAAGAAGACTATTCCCATTTTTGTAGGAGAGGAAACTGAGTGTCAGAGAGATTAAGAACCTTGCCTTAAAGCATTGCTAGCATCAGTTAGGATTCAAACCCAAGCCTCCTGACTCCAAATCCAGTGTTGTTGCTACTACATTACGAAGACTTTTAAGGTTAATCTAGTCCAGGGTTTCTTAAGCATTTTTTGCATCATGGACCCCTTTAACTGTCTTCAGAAGCTTATGGGTACCTTCTCAGGATCATGTTTGCTGCCTACATTCATCATGGAATGTTAAATTTCTTTTAGAAGTTAATGAAAATAAAGATGCAATTTTTTCCCCATCCAAGTTCATGGATCCCTGAAATCAATCCACAGACCCCTTAGTATCCAGGTTAAGAAAGGAAGGAAAGAATCACGTACACACCTCCTGTGTGCCAGGCACTGTGCTAAGCACTTTTTACAAATAACTTCTCATTTGATCCTCACAACAAACCTGAGAGGTAGATACTATTATTATCCCTATTTTACAGTTGAGGCAACTGAGGCAGACAGAGGTTAAATGAAGTCACAGAGCTAGTAAGTATTTGAATCCAGTTTTGAACTCAGGTCTTCCTAACTCTTAACTCCTGACTTCCTAACTTGCCCTCTATCCACTGTGCCACCTTTCTGTTTGTTCTAGTCTGATCCCCTTATTTTACAGATAAGGAAACTGAGGCCTAGTGACTTGCTCAAGGTCACACATTGAGCTACTAGAAGAACCAGAACTAGAACTCATTTATGAATAATAAATCCCATTTCTATAACCCTTTAAGGTCTACAAAGTATTTTTTTCTCACTCGCATTCCTCTCTCTTTGTTTTCCTCTCCCTTTTCTTCTGTCCCCTTCCTTTCTCTTTAGCTGCCAGTACTCTTTTCTGGACTCATTCTTTGAGGATGCTTGTATGGCAAGTATTATCAACCCTGTTTTACAGACCAAGAAACTGAGGCCAGAAAAGTGAATGCCTTTGCCCATGACCCCTGGCTAGTAAGGTCAAAACTTCCTCTGGGATCTAGTTCAGCTCTCCTGAAGCCAAGCCTAGTGCTCTTTTCGTCACAGCAGCCTCCACTCTCTGGCTGAGGTCCATGGCCACAGCTCAATGCTGACTCAGAAGAGCATCAGGTTGGGGGATCAGAAGTAGCAGTATGAGCAGGAGCTACTAAGGAAGTTGGGACTGGCCCAGTGTCCTTTGGAGGGGATCCAGACTTCCTCCCCACATCCTTCCTCTCCACTCCCACCTCCCCACTGAGGGTCCCTCTGCAGCCTTGGGGGCTTCCAGGCCTGCCACCAGGGACCCTGGGACAAGCAGTTATTATCTACAAGAAGCTGACCCAGCCTGGCAGTCTTTGTCACCCTCCCCTCTTCCACATTCCCTGCAGCTCCAGGCTTCTACAGGAAGAAGAGAGCAGCTGGTCCTACTGCGAACAAGGCCTGGGGAGGAGGGAGGAGGGGCTGGAAAAGAAGGGAGGGGGGTCCCAATGGAAGGCCTGGAGTGCCATCTGTTTGCCTGGCTTCAGTCAGGGTGAGGATCGAAGGAGGGCCTGGGACCAGCTCCCAGACCCACCAGCATCGATCACCACATGACAAGCGCCTCTGCCCCCACCCACCTGCTCTGCCTCCTGTCTTCATTCAAGCCAGTTCTAGACACAGCAAAATAATAATACCATTAATAATGATTTCCCTTTCTATAGCACATCGAGGTTTACAAACCATTCTTCATAACACCCCAGTGAGCTAGGTTAGAGCAAGTATCATCATCCCAATTTTACTGAAGAAGAAACTGAGGCCCAGAGAAGGGCCCAAGGTCATACAGCATGTAGGTGGCAAAGCAGAGATTTGAACCAGAGCTGACAATGAACAAAAGATTCCTCCTCCCCCACCCTTCTCTCTCTCTCTCTCTCTCTCTCTCTCTCTCCCCCTCCTCTGCAGCAGGAGAGGCAAGCTACTATTGCTCATTTCTCTGGTCTGAGCCACTAATTCTGGACCCCCAACTGGACACCTTCTTTAACACCCCACCCTCTACAGAAGGAAGCCCCTTCTGTATAATTAGGAGGGAAGAGAGAGATGGATCTCCTCCTCCCCCTTTACCCCTGCACTGACCAGCTAATCCCACCCAGGCAAGAGACTGAGATGTCTGCCAACAGAGAAAATGAAAGGACGGAGGAGCCCAGAGTTTTGGGTTTGCACTCCATGTGTGGGTCTTTGTGGGGGAGTGTGCCATCTGTTTGAACTGTCATTCTCCATCCACGGGGTCCTCTTGGAATGTAGGGCCTGAGATTTCTGTAACTAACTCTGCATAGAGCCAGGACATCTTGGACTTTCAGAGAGGATAAATAGTTCACATTTTGGGGGGGTAGAGCTTTTGGGTTTACAACACTCTTTCCCCACAGCAACCTTGCATAGGGATAGTGGAGGGGGTGGGGGTGGGGGGCTTGGGGAGGTAATTCAAGTGGTATTGTGTCCATTTAACAAGTGAGGAGACTGAAGCTCAGAGAGATGCCAGGCTTGCCCAAGGTCCCATATCGTGAATTAGGGACAGAACTAACCCGTGGATTATAAATAATAACCTTTGTTTCTGTAGGGCTTTCTAATTTACAAAGTGCTTCTCTTAAAACAAGGCTGTGAGAGGGGCAAGAAAAGGATTATTATCCCCTTTTTACAATAGAGGAAACAGGCCCAGAGTTATAGGTTCAAAGCTAAACAGAGCTAAGACTCAATCCTCCATAAACCCAATCCTCCATAATCCCAGTTCCTGGGCTCTTCCAAATATGTCCCATTACATTCTATTACTATGCTCAAATTCCCTTTTCCCACATTTCTCTCCTAGGGACAGAGATCTATTTATCTTTGGTATCTCTTGACCTCCCAGGGAGGAAGTGGAAACCAAAGCTTTCTAGGATCTCTGAGACCTTTGGAACTCTCTGCATCATATAATCATAATAGAAAACATCTATAGCCATGATCATGACAGATTTGTTTGGGGTTGGGCCAGAGGATGAATTCCCCAACTCAGAGCACAGCAAGCTTCCCTGGGATTAAATAAAGAACTCTGGGTGAAAGGGAATACTCTGGCTAACCTCAGTTGCTCTGGGAATGCTAAAAAAAAAAGTTGAAGGAGCATCATCAGATTTAGTGCAGTGATAGAGTAATGGGCATGGAGTCATGAAGACCAGAGTTCAAATCCAGCCTCAGACACTTACTAGCTGTATGACCCTGGGCAAGTCACTTAACTTCTGTTTACCTCAGTTTCCTCAACTATAAAATGAGATAATAACAGCACCCGTATCACAAGACTGTTGTGAGGATCAAATAAGATAGTAATTGTAAAGCACTTAGCACAGTGCCTGGTATGTAAATGCTATATAAATGTTTATTATTATTATTATCACGTTTGACTCCTAGTTCCAGTATTTACTACCTGTGTGACCTTGGACAAATCACGGAGTCTCTGAACTTCAGTGTTCTCCTCTATTAAAAGGGGATGTGAATACTTGTATTACCCAATCCATAGGGATGCTGTGAAGAATGAAGTTTTCAAACGGAAAAGTGGAATGACAATGTGAATGCTGGTGTCTCTAGACACATGAGGAGGAATGGCATAGGCCCCTGAACCAGGGGCTCGAACCCAGGTCCTTTGAATCCAAGACTGGAATTCTTTTCACCTTACTCCATGTCCTCCTATGACAGACATCTCAATAATATCATTGAGAGAAAATGGCAGGACTTGAGTTAGGGTACTATAGAGGGTTCAGTGGAGGGGAGGGGGACTCAGTGAGCAGATGGGGTCTCAGTGAGAAGTCCTGACTCTACAATCCTAGGTCAGTCTGCCTTCCCATGTATCTTGCTGATCCTGTCTCAACCATTTGTCTGACCCTGGGTGAATTTGTCCCCTCTAAACATCCCCACCCCCATTTGATGTTAGGTCAGTCTCTATGCCTGTGCTCAGCTGTTCTTCCCTCCACTCCCTTCCAACTGTGGGTCCCTCTGTCTGTTTGGGTGTCTCTCACATCCTTAGTTTCTCCATCTGTCAGTCTCTTGAAGATTCTGCATGTGTCCTTCTCCATGAGTTTTTTTTTTCTCTCTTCCCAACTCATCTTAACAGATTCAGGCTAAAAATTCTTCTCCTAGAAGGTCTTAATTCTCTCTCCAGAAAACACCCTAGCTACTCCTAAACTGTGCAAACAGAAAATGACTGTCACGAGCTCATTTTCTGAAGCATGTTCCTGTTGAATAGATAGGAGTAGGACCCAATCTTGTGGGAAGTAAAGAATTTAAAACCATGGGTCAAATGAACACCTGCCCCTCAGATCCTGGGTCAGAAATCAGAGGCTGCAGGAATAGCCTTGGAGATAATCCAAACTACTGCTATCGTTCAGACATTTTCAGTCGTGTCTGACTCTTCATGACCCCATTTGGGATTTTCTTGGCAAAGATACTGGAGTGATTTGTCATTTCCTTCTCTAGTTCATTTTACCAATGAGGAAAGTGAGGCAAACGGGGTTAAGTGACTTGCCCGGGGTCACACAGCTAGTAAGTGTCTGAGGCCAGATTTGAACTATGAAGAAGAGTCTTCCTAATTCCAGCACTCATTCCATGGCACCTCCTACCTGCCTGAATTACTGTGTATCCTTAGGTATTGTGTACCTCTCCTCTCTGGGCCTCAATTTTTTACTCTATAAAATGAAGGGGCCAGGGGCAGCTAGGTGGCACAGTAGATAGAGC